ATAAAGAAGAAACCAAAAGAAAAATCACCTGAATTGGAAGATGTCGAAGCAGAAATTAGATTAAAACCAAAAGAAGAACCTGTAGAGACAGAAGAAAAAGCTGACATAATCGTTAAAAAACCATTACCTAAAGAGCCTTCTATTGAAGAGCAATCCGAAGAAATCACTGTTCAAAGGTTAAAACCGGTTAGGAAAGCGTCCAAACCAGAAATCCCAGAGGAAGAAACTATCGAAACCGTTACATTTAGGCCAAAATCGACAAAAACCAAAGAAGACGTTGAAACAGAATTTAAAATATCTTTGGATCAATACGCAGAAGAGGAAATATCTCTTTCAACAAAAGTCAAACTCAAGAAACAAAAACCTTTGACTTATTCTGAAGAAACTGCTGAAGATACTGTAAAAGTTACTCAAGAAGTAGACGATGACGGACCAGTCATCGAAGAAATTATTGATGAAGACGATGAAGTTGTTCCTGAAGATGATGACGTCTCAGAGAGTTTCCACATCGCATTTAAACGACGACCATCCAGAAAATACTCAGTCGTCGAAGAAAATGAAGAAGAAATCAGCTTCAGGAAACCTATTAAACAAGTCGATTTTGAAGAAGAAGGAAGCTTCACGGTTAAACCGAAGAGGAAGGAATCTGTTACCTTTGACGCAGGTTTGTTATAATTTTTAGTTTTATAGACAAAAATATAATCCCTATATTTACTTTTTCTTAGAACCTGTATCCCTAAGCATTACAAAAGAAAGGGAAGTCGTAGAAGAGGTCATTCACGAAGAAGAAGTGGAAGTCGGAGATGTATACTATTCTATTACTATATACGATGCTGAAGCAGATCAAGCCATAGATATGGTTGAAGGAGAAAAGGTGTACGTCATGGAAAATCCAGATTCTGGTTGGTGGTTGGTCAAAAAACATTTGACCGAAGAAACAGGCTGGGTGCCTGCGAAAATTTTAATGAATGAAGAACAATATGCACAATATGTACAAAAGAAATTAAACGAGAAGATTGACAAACTTCCTGTATTTGAAAGTAAGTGACTTTTTATATTTATTTTGGTAATGCGTTTTTTATTATTAGTGATAACGATTTAGTATTAAATGATGAAATTCATAAAAGAATAATATAAAACTGACAAAATGGAGACATTAAAATAAAAATTAAACATATCGATGGTTGAAAGCTAAGATGTATTCCACAAAGCAACTTTTTTCAGGAAAAAGAAAAACGTTGCATTTAAGTAATTTTCCGAGGAATTACACTGTAGGAAGGGAAGGTCAAACTGTATGACTCAAATTTTGTTGTATCTGCTAAGCTTACGAATTTAATTGATCACAATGCTGAAAACGTATATCCATTTCCATTAAAATATGATCATATATTTCAAAAAATAATGCTCTTATTGAGCAGTAATTACATTGTGCTTGCTTTTTCAAAAATAGAATTAAAAAATTCTTCATTTCTTTTATCACTTATTAATTGACGAGTTCTCCTTATCTTGTTTAAAAAAAAATTAATATCTGGGGACTTTTTTTGATGAACATCATATAAAATATCTGTTATATGAAAAATGTCGCTAAAAACTGTTGCTAAAAATGTGAACTCAAAATCATTTAAATCTCTTAAAAACCCTTTAGCCAGCTGAACTGATTTGCGGTCTGACTCTTCAGAATTCATTATATTATCAAAAACCTCTTTTAATTTTTCCCAGTCTTCAATAGTTACACTGATTAATTTTGAATTAGATGACCATTTTGTCTCTGTAATTGTTGGCATACGTCTAGCCGATGTAGATGCAAGAGCGTACGATCGTTTTGCTGAACTATAAAAATACGATCGGATTCCGGTAATAGTTGCAAAAAAAATTCGACATTTTGATGTTTTCTTAAAGCTCTGTTGCAAAACAAGATTAATTCGATGGGCTAGACAATGCACAAAAATTGCTTGTAGGGCATGTGATTAAATATTTTGTTGTAGTCCATTTAAGTGCCCTGACATCACACTGGCTCCATCGTCACTGTCCTACAAGCTTATGTCGGTATTCCAAAGGCTCTAAAACTGGCGCAGCTATACTGAACAAATGCTCAGCTGTTCTACCGGCACTTACATCGTAAGATCCCATAAACATTTCAATTAATAGTCCTTCAGAAAATGGACTGTTTTTAATTTCAGTGATAATATTATCATTTATGTAACCAGAAATACACTCAATTAATTCATTTTGAATTATTTTTGATTCTCCACTAAAAACATTTTTGAATTTTTCGTAATGATTTTTAGTTTCCATGAGGCTTTGAACAATTAACAGATTTAATAACTCCTTACAATTACCCCTGTTACTTGAATCACTTTTCTCATCATGTCCCCTAAAAGACAACTCTTGTTTGCTGAGGTACAAAACTGCGTCAATAACTGTCCGCAAACAAATCCTGTTTAGTCGAACATTTTCATTAAAATTTAGTTTATGTAATCTAGCGTTTTCTTTTAAGACATCGGCAATCGTATTTTGATTTTATTCGAAACGATATAACGATATAAACTTTCTTGTTCTCCCTCCAATAAAATACTCAATATACGCAGATGATCTTGTTCTTTATTGCCAAGGTAAAGTTACAAGGAGCACATGCTCTCTACTCCAAAACACTCGTAACAATCTTCATAACTAGTCCACTGAAATTAGAGTTAAATTTTCATCCGGAAAATCTAAAGTCATAAACTTCTCTAGAAGACATCACACTCACCTTCCTCTACTTCACCTAAATGGATCTCCTCTTCAAGTGGTTGATAGATACAATTTATTAGAAGTAATATTCGATAAAAGACTTACATGGAGAGATCAGATATAGAGTACAAAAACAAACTGCCTAAATAGAATCAATTCTATTTAGGATTTCTCATTGCTAATGAGAAATCATTAGCAATATGCACCGACTCTCTCTCCACCATTGATTCAATCAGAAATATATACTCCATACATCTCATTGTACAGTGCATCCATAGTATCTGCTAACAGCAGTCAAAAAATGCTGTTTCAGTAACTATCATCTGGATACCATCCCATGTTGGTATCAATGGAAATGAGAATGCTAATCATGCATTAAAACTGGCCTGCTCCTTAGAAAATATGAAAAACATACAACTTCACCAAGACCTAAAGTCCAGAATCAAGAACAACGTACTAAGCACTTGGCAAACACACTGGAACATGCAAAATACAAAACTACGCACAATTCAACCAACTGTTACCTCCATCACCATGCCTCAAATCAGCAGAAAAGACAATATCATTACCAGTAGGCTCAGAACAGGTCACACTCGTCTTACTCATGGATATCTGATGTCTTCTGAAAACCATCGTCACTGTGAACATTGTAATGAGTCCTTAACAATCCAGCAGATATTACTAGAATGTGTCCACTACAAACCTCAAATATCCTAACTTGTATACAAACAGATTGTATATGTATGTAAACATAAACATATTGTAATAAACTTTGTAGCAGTGTCAATGTAGTTGCCGAGACACTTTAATTTAAAATAAAAAAAATACTACAGTTTTTAACAAAAAAAAATAAGTTTTACTGTAATTTTTGGCTTACATGTTACTTGTACGTGTCGAGATATTCCATGTAGGGTACAGTTTTTAAATAAGGTACAAGTTAAACAGAATATATTAGATGTCCACCTTTCAATATAAAGTTATACATTGCGTATTTCTTGGAATAATACAGATGCATATTGTCACCATGAGGAGTATTCAAAACTTTTTGAAGATCAAAGGAAACCAATAAAAAGTTTGAATCTGTTTTAGATCTTATTTGATGTGCTTTGAACAGAGGCAGCCCCAATTTTTTTATCTATATGAGATGCAAAACTTTCTGATTGCTTGCTTCCCATATTGCACACTTATTTTTTGGATATGCATAGAGTCAAAATATTAAAGACTCTGTCATCTGTCACATATGTCACGGGTGTTATCCCTACGAACAGTTCGTATTAATTCAATGAACATTTTAGGGGCGCCTTTTTTCCTTCTCAGCTGGTTTAAGTTTTTTTTTAAACGTATACAAATCGATCACTTATCGATCATATTTTTGAGCAGACAGTCGAATAGGTTTCGGATCTGTATATTCGTTTCCTCCAGTTTTAAGCAGATAACTGTTATATTCGCTGGAACCAATTAAATGGATATAATTCTATTACATAAATATTAAATCGAATCGGTGAATCACTTCTCTGCAGTCTAGCGCTCGGACCAAAATAAATCATTTTCCTTTCTGCATAGTTTCTATATTTTATAATTATTTTTATGTGATTTCAGAACCAAAATCCAAAGATAAAGCTTCTGCGCCGAAATTCGTCAAGAAGTTGAAGCCTATAATAACACCAGATGGTTATACTGTCCAATTCGAATGTCAAGTAGAAGGATTCCCTCGTCCTCAAATTACGTGGTTCAGGCAAACCCACATAATCAAAACTTCCAAAGATTTCCAAATCTACTACGATGAAGATAACGTCGCTACCCTTATTATTAGGGAAGTTTTTCCAGAAGATGCCGGAACTTTCACGTGCGTTGCTAAAAATTCTGCAGGATTCGCTTCCAGTACAACGGAACTTATAGTAGAAGGTCCGTTGTCATCTCATGGATCCGAACTGACTTCCATTTCAAGGAAGAGTCTGTCAAGAACGTCTTCCTTAGCTGATATATTAGAAGGTATACCACCAACATTCGCTAAAAAACCTCAACCACAGTGTGTCCCTGAAGAAACAGATGTCGTAGTTGAAAGTACATTAGTAGGTGTGCCGCAACCTGAAATAAAATGGTACCGCAACGGTAAACGTGTAACTGAAAATGTCAGTATTGTGTCAACTTCTGAGCTATATACATACAAAACCATTCTAAAACTCAAAAAAGTCAAGAAGACTCAGGAAGGCAAGTTTAAGATTGTAGCCAAGAACAGGGAAGGAGAAGCCTCAGTAACATTTACATTGAAAGTAATAACCTCGGAGAAAGAACCTCCCGAGATCTTATCACCTTTGGAATCTATAACCGTAAGGAAAGGAGAACCAGTTACACTTTCCACTACCATCTTCGGTAACCCAGAACCTACTATCGAATGGTTGAAGGACGGAAAACCTTTAACCAGACCAAAATTCAAAAAAGACGGAAATACATACACTTTGACTATTCCAAAGACATCTACAGATGACACTGCTACATACACAGTTCGAGCTACCAATTCTTTGGGTACGATAGAAACAAGTGCAAACCTAACAGTCGAAGGTATGTATCATATAAAAAAAATACTGCTTTTGCTTTATAGTTTAATAATGTTCTAGTTCCACCATGACGCTTTAGCCAATTTAAAAAAGGAGAGCTGCAATGAAATAGAATAGAAGGCTTTTGCTTGTAGATACCTCAAGAAGAAGTGGATGCATCATTTATATGCTTAGTTAACACATGCGAAGGCTTAACAGAACCATTTGATTAGAGTATGCGAATAGGATAGATTACCAATGGCTTTGCAGAAACAATTTTAACATTATTTTAATTATATCTTAGAAAATATAAAATTTTAATTACGCTAACTTATTTAATTCGCTTTATAGATAGGCTAAGTAGTAATATTAAGTAAAGGCTTGCATAACATTTTAGTACTCGATTTTAATAATATTGCTTGTGCTGTTAAGGATCTATTTATTTCAAAGTAAGCTCTGCGAAAATTTGGACTGTATTATTTGTAATTTATTCATTCATATTTCATTTACAGTCAAAATCGTTTACAACTACACTGGCTATAACGTACAATCGGCTATAACAAACAAAATAGTCTTCTTCTTCTTCTTTTTGGCATCATAACCCTGGATGGGTCTTTGCCTGTCTGGCTATGTCCTTCCATTCAGATCTCTCTTGTGCCCTTCTTCTCCATTGTCTTATGTTCATTGTTTTCAGGTCGTCTTCCACGTCATCCAACCATCTCGTTCTGGGCCTTCTTTTTTTTCGCCTTCCTATGGGCTTCCATTGTAACATTTTCTTTGTTGTTTTTGCATCGTTTTGTCTCTGCACATGTCCCAGCCATGACAGTCTTTGACTTTTCACAAATCTTACAATGTTATAACCTTCATTTAACTCATTAACCTCGTCGTTTCTCCTGATTCTCCATGTGCCATCTTCCTCTTGTACCGGGCCATATACTTTCCTCAGTATTTTTCTCTCGAATGTCCTGAGTTGGGCTTTAACAAACAAAATAGTAGGTCCCTTAAAATGACATACAAAAAACGCATTTATATTGCTTATAATGAACAAATTGGTTAGAGGAAACGTATTTCTTGGAACACTAGCAGTTAAAATATTGGTTACAGAGTACAACGGGCAAACTAATGGCATACAAGCTCCTTCTCAGGCAAGTTTATCAGCCTTATCACTGCCTACATAGCCTTTGTGCCTGATACCCAGGCTAGTGTCAATCTATTCAGACTTTCAGCTTTGGAGAACATAGCCAAACAGTTGCACATACGTTTTGTATTAAACTTGCATAGAATTGAGGGTGTCTAAAGCTGCTTGATTATCAGAGTAGATCACGATTGAGTCATTCTCCACTTGCCGACATACTAGTTCCATATCACACCTTTATATAGCGGTAATATGGTACCATATGTTCCCAAGCTTAACGAGCTTTTGTCATTAGTCTTGTTATATATACCAACCACTGTACCTTCATCGATTTTAGAGTCACCTGAATACAGACTTTTCGACGGACCAGTTTACCAGTCTTACCTGTTTGGTTAGTATGGTTTGATCGGCTCCGTGCATTATGCTTATAGAAACTTGACCCTGTATTAGCCTGTGTACTGTTGGCCGAGCCTTCCCCTGTATAAATATGTGAAACGGTGATAAGTGTAGCAACACCTCTAACGCGTTTATAGGGGCGGTTCTGTGCCACTAAGCAGCCGAATCGGTCCCAGCTATTGCGTCTTGGTTCACCATGCCACTAAACCATAAATAGTCATAGATTTTATAACTGTTATGTATAACTAAAGGTTCATTTTTGGACTAAGTGCCCAGTCCTTCCCAGTTCAATATATCTGATAAGAGCTATTGACCTTCTGGGTGATATTTTTAATGTGTGTAACAACCACCTCCTACCGTCGCCTCGGCAATGGCTTCGCTTAAGATGAACATGATGGTCCTATTTGTTTACTCTCAACTGCTTGCATCCACTCGCACATGTGGGTAGGAACACCTCTACTTTTTAGCGCTTCGAAGGATTCGAAGATGTTGTCAAGTGCTAGAAAAATCGCTACTGCTATTTCTTTCTCCTCCATTGACTATGAGAGCAGTCTACTGAGATTATCCAGAGTCAAGACTGTTGGTTTTCCTGGCTGATACGTATATTGATGATCGCTGAGTGGTTTGCCTTCAGCACCTCATCTCTGATGAGCCTATCTAGCTTTTTGCTAGAAAAGAAGATAAGCTCACTGATCTATATGATTTTGGAGTTTGTTCCATTATCCTACCGAGTTTTGGTATACAGATAACTTTCACCTTTTACCATGCCACTGTAATCACTTATCACAACTCAGTAATAGCCTGCCCGTACTTTTATTTCCCATAGGTATTGATACACACATGTTTGATGTTGGCTTCATTGATTATTGGCAGTTCTGTATCATGCACCGTGTATGGCAGCACTTCAATGACACTTCCTTGTGTGATACCAGATTTTATAGAGAAGATCCGAAATTCCCGATCTTGGGAATGTAATACCCTTTGTTCTAAATTCCCCATACATTTTGTCAGATTTCAGTAGGTGATAGGTGTCTCTTGACATTAGGTAACATATCTCTTGACATTAGAAATTCTTCAATGCATAAGTCTAGATTGAAAATAATTTTGACAACTGTTTGTAATTTTGGGAATTTTAGATATAGTATCATTTAATCTGAAACACTATCGAAAATCAGTCTAACTAGGATTGTTCCTCTCTCCCAGCCTCAATAGCACATAGGTATCAATTCTATTAAAGTCATATCTCGAAAGACAATGGCAAACCATCATCATTATCGTACTGGCTTTACAAGCCTGTGTGGGTCTTAGCCTTTTTAAGAATTTTTCTCCAGTCATCTCTATCCATCGCCTTCCTTTGAAAAGCACGCATTCCCGTATTTCTCATGTCTTCATCGATGTTATCAAGGAACCTTGCTAACATCAAGGTCTATCAGAGAGCGTGTTTCTAGCTGGGTCCTTTTGCTCCATCTGCATTCACATGCTCTACCCACATCAGGGTTTCCTATCTTAATATATTTTTACAACTATTAAAATGTCTTAGAACCGCTTCTCTAACATGGTCGTTTGAAATCAATATTAAACGGTAGAATCGTTAGACCTTTGGTTTTTCTGGCCAGGACCAGGATCTGAACCGTCGCCTGCTAAAACATTCGACAGTCCCACTTGGCTATCTGATCGACTAACTTTTTATTGATTTTTAAAAATACCGAATTAAAATAACAAAGAAAAACCTATTGAAACTGAATTAGCTTCCATAGCAAACAACGTGAATTCATTTCCATTTTTTTTTTTTTTGGTTATGTTCATCAATTTTTTGTCAATAGCTAATTAAAAATGATTTGTAGAACTAATTCTAAAATGATACAGTCCAACGCAGTACTTAAAAATAAGCTTACTTAACTTAAATAACAGATGTAAAATTGACAGTTTAGTATTAAGTTATTCTGGATCCTACTGAGTAGATAGTATGCACTAGAAAATATTGTATTCTAGATTTTGAAGTATGTATACAACCTACTTCTATTATAATTGCAATTGCATTTCAAATTAATATAAGTATTATTGATCTGCATTATATAACAACGAAGTTAGATCTATGAAGACTCATTTTGCTTCATATTTCTAACGACAGGGATAGTGCATATAGATCATAGACTATAATACATTAATTTTGGTAATAAATACGCTTTATAATAATACATTTATAGCCCAGGGAAATAAGCATTTTTTCATGACACTCGTCCGGCCAGGCAAACGACAGTTGTTTTGAGTAGTACGGACCTCTGTAACAAAAACCTTTATGTTTCCTGCAGTCGATTTTTTGGACTTAATTAGTTATTAACAAATTAAGGTCAAAAAACGGAAAATTTTTGCTTTTTTCGTCTATCAGCAAAAAGTGAAGCAATTTAAACAATTTTAGAAGAGAGGAAACTTATAGGTTATATAAAAACCTTCAAAATGGCGTTTTTAAAATGTTTCTATCCTTATTTGTTGCTTAGAAAGTTGCAAAATAAGTCAAAAATTTCGGTTTTTTATAAATGTTAATAACTTTTTTAAAAATAAACTTATAATATTTATATTTCATGGAATGATGTGTCTTGTAGTGCTTAAAATAGGGTTAAAATTTTAAAGTGATCGGTCCAATAGTTTAAAAGTTATTTTATTTGTTTATCCCAAATTAACATTTTTTGCAACAATATAAGTCAGAAATTTATACAGTTTTAGAAATTGTAAGGGTTGTTTCTGGTAGAAGAAGACTTGTTTTATTATTTACATTAAAAAAAAATTAAGAAAATTAATTTTAAATATTGCAAAATAATTTTGCAAAAACATGTCGATTTTTTGCTTATAAACAATTAGAATAACTTTTTAACCATTGACTGTAAAAACATTATTTTTAAATATTTAAAAAGCTAAAATTTTTTCACAAATTTAAATGAAAAAAAGTTTGTCCTAAAATAATTTGGTACAAAGTTAGCCTCTTTTTTTATTTAATTCATAGCACCTCATAATGTTCTGCATTCTGAGAAAGATTTCCGAAGTAGAAATCGAAACATCAAAAATAAATTTATTATAAACTTAAATTGTGGCTTATTCCCCAAAAAAAATAGGAGATGACAAGTACTTCTGTTTTACATTCAAACTTAACTTAAATACTACTAAAAAAATTAAAAAAAATTGTTTTTAAACAAATTAGGTGGTTTATTTGACAATTTATTTATTGAAATAATGCATATTCGTAATGTACGCAAAAAGTACATACAAGTTCAAAAAGAAACGTTGAAATACATAAAAAAGGAACAGAGATACAGTTAACAGCGCCTTCCCCCTCCCCTCAGCTCCCGAGAGTTTTAAAACCGATGGATTTTACATACATTTTGAAGCTTTGTGGAGGATTCCATTAAAGGGCAATAATTTTAAAATTTAGTAGTTTAAAACTATAATGTATATTCTTTCAAATAGCGCTAATTAGATTTCTTAATTTTATAAACAAAGGTGCTATGAATTAAATAAAAAAAGAAGCTAACTTTGTACCAAATTATTTTAGGACAAACTTTTTTTTATTTAAATTTGTGAAAAAATTCAAGCTTTTTAAATATGTAAAAATAATATTTTTACAGTCAATGGTTAAAAAGTTATTCTAATTGTTTATAAGAAAAAAATCGACATGTTTTTGCAAAATTATTTTGCAACATTTAAAATTAATTTTCTTAATTTTTGTTTAATGTAAATAATAAAACAAGTCTTCTTCTATCAGAAACAACCCTTACAATTTCTAAAACTGTATAAATTTCTGACTTATATTCTTGCAAAAAATGTTAATTTGGGATAAACAAATAAAATAACTTTTAAACTATTGGACTGATCACTTTGAAATTTTAACCCTATTTTATGCACTACAAGACACATCATTCCATGAAATATAAATATTATAAGTTTATTTTCAAAAAAGTTATTAACATTTATAAAAAAAACCGAAATTTTTGACTTATTTTGCAACTTTCTAAGCAACAAATAAGGATAGAAACATTTTGAAAACGCCATTTTGAAGGTTTTTGTATAACTTATAAGTTTCTTTTCTTCTAAAATTTGTTTAAATTGCTTCACTTTTTGCTGATAGCCGAAAAAAGCAAAAATTTTCCGTTTTTTGAACTTAATTTGTTAATAACTAATTTAGTCCAAAAAATCGACTGCAGGAAACATATAGGTTTTTATTACAGAGGTCCGCACTACTCAAAACAACTGTCGTTTGCCTGGCCGGATGAGTGTCAAAAACAGGGTACTTTTTTTGCTTATTTCCCTGGCCTATTAGTCAATAAAAGCTACGCTGTAGATGTAATTTATTTAAATCTTTTTCATAATAATTGTTGATAACAATAGAGACTAACTCATTTATATACATTATAATTTACAGAATTCCCAGAAAACCAAGAGCCACCATTGTTCGTCAAACGATTTGAAGAACAAACTGTTCCACAAAAGTCACCTCTGACCCTCAAAGCCAAAGTGGTTGGTAATCCTACTCCTGAAGTATACTGGCTTAGAAATAATGAGCCTTTGGAACCTTCCGATAGAGTAAAGATCATTTTTGATGGCGAAAATGTTGAACTAACTATTAAAGAAACTAATTCTGAACTTGACTCTGGAGACTACAAATGTATTGCTGTCAATTCAGCTGGAAAAGCCTCGCATGGTGCCAAGGTGTCTATCGAGGTAGATACTGTTAAATTTACTAAAGAACTGAAAGAGGTTTATGAAACAATAGAAAGAAAGACCATCGAATTGGAATGTGAGACATCTCACTCAGTTAGAACGAAATGGTGGTATAACAATACGGAAATTAGTGGTATGGACCATCGTGTTGTGGTTCAAGACGGACGTACTCACAAACTCATCATTAAAAATATTACTCAAAATGATCAAGGCAGTTATAAATGTACAGTAAAGAACCAAAAGACAGAAACCACAGTTAAAGTTCAGCAATGCAAACTAGAATTCGTCAAGACATTACAAGATTTAGAAATAACTGAAAAAGATACAGCTGTCCTTGAAGTAGAAATCACTTCTGACACAGCTAATGTAGAGTGGTTCAAAGATGGTACTCCTCTAAAAGAAACCGAAGACAAATTTGATACTGAGAAGTACGGTGGATTAAGAAGACTTTTAATCCGTAGCACTTCAATCCATGACGAAGGAGAGTACAGCTGTAAACTTGTAGACGAAGAATGTAGAGCTGATGTAACAGTAATAGAATTGCCTCCAGAAATTATAACACCATTAAAAGATCAAGTGGTTAACAAAGGCGACAAGACTGTCTTCGAAATAGAACTCTCTAAAGGTGATGCCTTGGCCAGATGGTACAAAGACGGTAAAGAAATACAATTCTCAGAACACGTTCAATTGTCTATTGACGGAAAGAGGCAAAAATTGAAAATCTATAAAACCGAACCTGAAGATGAAGGTGTCTATTCTTGTGAGGTTGGAACGCAATCATCCAAAGCTAGACTTACGGTAGAAGTACCAAGCTGTACCTTCATCAGATCTTTACCAGAATACACCATTGTTCCAATCAATACCGACGCCGAATTTGAGGTAGAACTTTCCAAGGAAGACGTGGAAGTTACTTGGTACAGAAAGAATGAACGCATAGAAAAATCCTCCAGATACTCTATATTTGAAGATCGCAGGATAAGAAGATTGGTTGTACATAAAACTTCTACAGAAGATGAATACGAATACTCTTGTACGGTTGAAAAATACCAACTGAAGACTTCATCCAAACTTAAAATTGGCGGTAGGTACTCATTTTCTTTATTTTATTAAAAAAATATTTGATTCAGATATCTCCCAATATTCAATCTTCGGTTCTACTAGTGACTTCACTATTAATTCCTATACCAGCTGTGATTTCCTTGTTTTTTTTCATTTCTGTACAGGAATGGGTTTAGTAAATACTCTTTTCCGCAAATCGCCAAGAAATTTTGACATTCCTGTCAAAATTTCTTGAAGAAAAAGTCAGGACTTCCTTACTGTAAGGAAATGTCATTTCCTTACTGTAAGGAAATGATATTTCCGTACAGTTGTTAGTGTTCTACATAAATTGTCAAGTTTGACAATTCAACCTCAATACGTTTCCATAGTAACCCAAGTAATTTTATTAGGAATTTCAAAGCACCATTTATTTGGGAATAAAATTATCGCGTTTTTTTTAAATCAATCAATATCTGTCGAATTTTAAACGATTTGCGGAAAAATAGTATGTTTACCTCGTAGGAAAAGCCACATTCCTGGACTCTGTGTTGCTAAGTCTCGGCTTGCGCCTCGACTTAGCAATCTTCACAGTCGTCCAGGAATGTTAAGCTTTTCCTACCCGTTAAACAATGTACTATTCCTGATTTTTATTAATGATCCTAGCACATTGTTTAGTTTTTTTATTCTCGATATGCTTGCAGACCTTTGCCAGAATATCAAATCAATCTTTCTCCATCTCTCTGCCTTTTCCTTTGCCTTTAAAGCATGGTTCTTCTTCAATATTAGCCTCCTACATTGTTGAAATTATCACACCAGCTTTTTCTTGGTCTCCCAATACTTCTTCGTCCATTTGGTGACTTATCTCGTGCTATTCGTACTCTCCTATCCATTTTCCGTTTTTCAACCATCCATTTATGTCTTCTATATTGCATGCTCTTCTGATGTTTTCGCTTCTCTCCCTATCCAACAGATTTGGTCTTTGTTGTTGAAAGAAGTAATGTTCCATGTTGCTAATCTGATTGTGGGCTTATTTTTCCTTCTCGTTTTCCTTTTCTTTGCGTGGTTCGCATCTTAGGTGCCGTCTGGTTCCAAGACTTTATATCGGTTCTTTGAGCCTTGTTTTCTTTTACAATAGGTAGGATGCTAACCTGACCCATCAACACTCTCTTTTATTCAAGCTTATGACCGGCTGTGGTCGTGAACGTTTTCCCTTGCTTATATTATTTTATTATTGGTACATTTCTTGTTGTTTGTCATTTTTACTAAGTGAAAATACACCATACAAGGTATACTTCGAACTATTTTGCAAGTTTTCTTTACATTAACATATAAACGTGTACTTTTGGTTGAGTTTTTCTTCATTATCATCAATCATTTTATAAAGGGCAAGGATTATGTACAGAAAACATTAATCCTATCTTTCTCTCTAAAAGTATGTGAGAAACATTACATATTGCGGCCTGTATTGACCCTCTTCAGATAACGGTAAAAGCTGAAAACGGACTCGCATTCTTAACCATATTTCCCAGTTTAGAGAGTGGACACGTTACATAACGCCATCTAGTTTGGATGGCAGAAAATAGACACCACTGTCTGTCTCTGATCTAGGTTGCAATCGCTAAAATGTTTGAAAATAACTCTCCCTGAAAAAAAAAACTCCTGTGACTCGTTTTATAGGCGTGTTACTAATGAATGCCTATTTTTTTCTTTCTAATTATTCTAGTTTGAGGGTTTTGAAGTATAAAATAAGACAAAATCCATAAATTAATAAACAACTTAAGTTTAACATGTTCTTAATGTTCTAGATAAACCTTCTCCTCCAAGAGGTCCTCTAGAAATATCCGGAATGTCAGATACATCATTTACAATTCAATGGCAGCCTTCGGAAAGTGACGGTGGTTCTGAAATCATCGAATACATAGTGGACATGAAAGAAGCTAAGACTAAGAAGGTCTTTAAGAAAGTCGGTGCTACCAAAGGCAACATTACCAACCTCGCCATCAACTATTTGGAAAAGGGACATGGCTACAATTACAGAATTACTGCCAGGAATGCTATTGGTGTGAGCGATCCTTATCTTCCATCAGAAACGATCGTTGCAGGATCTAGAATGAGTATGTCACTTTTTTTATATTTCCTAATTATTTGAAACAGGTTCAACTACTTGATTTGAGGTAAAAAATCGGTTTTTTTAGTCTTGAGAAAAAAGATCTAAGAGGAAAGTAGAAAATATTTTACTGTCTACTTTCCAAAGTCTTCTAACTATATTATCTCTTACAGGCTTCGTTCCAGTAAATTATTTTTCTGGCCACTTCTTAATAATAGGTGGCGATTTTAAAGCCAAAATAGGCACTAAAGAAGATCCCACTGAAATAATATCAAGAAATTTTGGAAGCGAAGAGGAAATGATAGAGGCAAATAATTGTTAACTTCCATTTTGGAAAACAATCTCTATCAAATGAACAGCTTCTTTACTGGTAAAAAAACACAAAAGATAAACATGGGAAAACACATATTTTTGGACAATATGTGTAAAAAACAATATAATTGAAAATTGAATAAAATTGAACAGAATAAATGCCAGTTCTGTTAGATGATATATCTACCATAATTCTAAAAAAGGAACAAATTGTAAATACCATATGCAAAAGGTTTTAAATGATCGAGAGACTAAATGGTAACTTTACTGATTATTGCAAAGAGTAATAAGAACTGTTTCAAGTAATTTGATTTCTTCACTGTGTATAATATTGCTTTAATTAACGGCTTAAATTCCGCTCACATAAATATTTTTTATTTGCATTTTATTTAGTTTTTGCTCATGCTTTGCTTTTGCTTTAGGAATTAACTATCAGTTTGAAAAAACAGATGAGACGCTATATTGCTTACTAGGTATTTTCCCGCCAGCTAAACTAGAACATAAAAGTAAGTATTCCGCAAAACTGCGAAAATGTTCTGATCAAAAGAAAGATTTCCTAGATTTTTTAAATACTGATTATTGTGGTATTTCGTAGATATCCATCAATGTTTCTGAACCTATTTGTTTATAATATAAGTTGTAAATCAACAGTTTTTTTCTTCAGAAGTGTTTTATTGAATCTACCACGTATATAAAATATTTCTACTTTTTCATTAACATAAAATATTACTAAAATGTTCAGTAATATCGTTTAGCTAAATAATAATTGTTTTGCTGTAATCTCCATGAAATTCTATCCTCGCTATGTATATCTTTACTTTTTTTGGAAGCCATTCATGTAACCTTTCTGGCTCAAGTTTTAGTCTTAGCCGGGACAGATGGCTTTACGTGCCCTTTGAAGGCAGGTCGGTACCTAGCGACTGAGCTATGGCTGTCACCTTACACCACCTATGAGCTATCTTTCTTTATCATAAGATATTATCCATGTCAATCTTCGCCACTAATAAATCTAGCTTGATTGTCTTTCTTTGCAGGAAGAACTCTCCTATGTTAAGTTAAAAGAGAAAGAGAATACTTATCAAATAATAGTTTTCTTTGGTCTAGTATTGATGACAAATGACAAAACTAAATAATTCCATTATTTAATAATTTCAATATTTAGTTTTGTCATTTGTCTAGAGAAAATTACTTCAACCAAAACCTCAACGGATTTAGACGGGATCAACTGATGACCTATTCACCATTAAAAATTTTATGGTGAAAAAATATTGTAGATTTAAGAGTTCAAGAAGGTCGTTTGGGCTGGAATACCTTTTCTTACTTTCCGTACTGTTATTAAATCTTTGTTTCATCTATGTTTTAGTTCAAAACATCTAGGCTTCTAAGTGAGAGCGCCCACCAAAGTGGCGTGGCACGTGGCAAGTGGCAAGTAGCACGCGTCTAGCATGTTTCTTAAAATGTAACCAATGAAAACGAATGATTAGAATGAATGACGTCACTGTCATTTTGGTGTGCGCTGAATCATTCGTTTTCATTGGTTACATTTTAAGAATCATGCTAGACGCGTGCTACTTGCCACGTGTCACGCCACTTTGGTGGGCGCTCTCACTAAGAATGATTATTCGTTTCAAAGAATCATTTAATACCTGATCTAAAAGGAACTGATCTAGGTATTTATTGTGTTGGCGAAAAATTGCTAATCATGATTCCGGGTATGGTATACAAGTGTCCTGATCCAGAACTAGATAAATGATCATGGTTTGAGTCTCGCGACGGGGAAAAAGAGAAATGGAATGGTTTTCGATTGCGCAGTTATTCGGTTAACCTCTAAGAATTACGTCAAGTACTTGAGGGTGGTATTTCATACGAATGCTGGGCCTGTAAAACGGCGGAAAGAGCGGTTCCGCTGGAGAAAGGAATGCCTAATATTGGTGGACACAAATCCGAAAAGAGGGTTCTACACGGTTTTGTGCAGTCTATCATCCTCTAAGCGGCACCAGGCTGGAGTACGACGGTGGAAACACAGATTACAAGAGGCTCTTGGTACCTGCGGACAGAACTAGTTTGCTGCAGGTACCAAGTGTTTACAGAACTGTGTCTACTGCGGCCGTGTGGGTGATCACCGGCTGTGTCCACTTACGGGTGTTGGTGACAGATAGAAAGGGTATGTTTCAACGGAGAAATAGTGATATAGTGGAGAATGTCAGAAGCGAGGAGAGAGCCACATGTATTGTAAATTGACAGGACCAGTGGGATGCAAAGGAGGATGTGACACAGTTGATGAAGTCAGTGATACCTACTCTGATGACCAGCTGCAACAGACTATTATTTAAAGCAAGTACTCATAGTACATCGGAGCTTACGCAGCTACTTGCACAGATTAAAAAGTTTAAATCTGACAAGTGCCTGTATTGTGAGGCTTGGCACACTGTGTCACAGATTCTTTTGGAGTGTGTCAGATGGATAAGAAAAAGGAATGAGCTGGAGAAAGTGGTTGAGTCGATGAGAGAGATGGTGACAGATAAGTAGTGGTGGAACAAAGTGCACAACTGTACGAGGAAGGTGTCGAAAAAAGAGAAGGAAGAGCGGAAGTTAGACTCAGTTTTATCAGTGATCGAGTAGGCATACCTTGGCCCGAAGATGTAGGAAGAAAGAGAGATTGACAACACAGCAATAAATGCGAGTACGAACAAGAGAGCGAGAGAGGCAGAAATGACGGCAGGCATGAGAGAGCGACAGGGCAAGCGTATGTATGCGTAGAAATAAAAGTAAAGGAGAAAGTCTGGTTAGGCAGAGGAGAACGTGGTGTTCGTATGAGTGCAATAGACGTGATAAGAGCTGATGTGTGATGGCGAGCGACTGAGAATGGGGCCAAAAAAAGTAATGTAGAGCTAAGTAATGTTCCAAAGGACGGTTCTACCATGAAGCCTAGTATTTCAGGGGTGGGGTTTAGCTTTTTTTAGTTTGTGGCTTAATGTTTGTCATCTGATTTTGTTTGGTCCGATGTTTTAAGGCTTAGACATCTACTAGTAGACGTTTCAGGGAGAAGCCGTTAATACTGTTTGCTAGTCTGTATAGTAGTTGGTACTGTGGTAGCTAGTTTATCTTGCTTTTAGAGTTTCCGTTGTTGTAACTGAACATTGAATTCTCCAATATAATTTTTAATACTTCTCTTGTTAGATGTAAACACATATTTACATGTATTAAAGTTAGTATTATCACCTCTGTATTACTGTCTTATGTGGTGTTCATCTATTTTGTACAACTAACTTTTTTCTGATCTTTTGTAAACTTAAGACAGGGATTATTCTATAAAACCAAATGCTGGTATTTTGTATTAGCATTTTCTTTCGTTGATTATGTTTGTGTACCAGTAATACACACTTATCTTATTTTTAATGTTGATCCACTCATTTAATGCACTATATAGTATCTTATATTGTAACATTTCACATATAAATCTTGCTATTAACATTTTAATTATTAGTGCTGCTAAAAGCAAACTAACATTGTTATGTACGTAAGTTAAGAAGCCTATAGTAACATTATCTTTTCCCATAGCACCACCATCACCTCCAATCAACCTGAAGGTCAAAGATTTGACCAGCAGAAGTGCAACGCTAACTTGGGAACCACCAGAAAACGATGGTGGAACTGAAATTACGGGCTACATCGTCGAAAAGAAACTTGAATACATGCCTAAATGGGAAAAAGTGTTTACATTGGAGGCTTTCTCATTGGAATACACCTTCGAGAACTTAAAAGAAAAGAGTGATTATCTGTTCAGAGTGTACGCAGAAAATTGCATTGGACTCAGTCCGCCAGCTACTTCTGAGGTTGTGCAAATGCGAACACATGCCAGTGAGTATTATTTTTTTAGTCAATACATATTATAAAATCAGTTGTTTATAAAACAAACTGTCTTCTTGGAAAACATCATCTGTGTACGGTCAAGGCTTAAACGTTTATCCTTCTTTTATTCTGATAGGAGGGCTTTAAGTTTCTCTCAACTGTTTCTTTTGTTCTTACTCTAAGATAGTTCTAGAATATTTTGCTACAATTCATCCCACAAAATATTTCATTTTAAGTAACTTAATGGACTTTCATTTATTTGTAGCTGTACCTTCCCCGCCAACACCGCCACTAGAAATAAGGACCATAGGACCCAACGCAATCGTCGTGGAATGGGGAATCCCAGAATCAGACGGAGGTTCACCGCTTCTAGGTTACAACATTGCCATCAGAGACACCAAAAAGACCATGTGGATGGAGATTGGAAGGGTCCAGAAGGGTGTACAGAAATTCACAATTAGAGATTTACAAGAAGACCATGAATATATGATTAGGATATTTGCCAAGAACGAAATTGGACTGAGTGATCCTTTGGAATCCGATGAACCGTTTAAGGTTCTTCCGTCCGGAGGTAAATATCTTTTATTTAAAATTTATAATTTACATCTTATAGTAATAATCTAAAAATATCTTATCTTCTTCTTCTTCTTTTCTTATCTTTTAAAAGCTAACTATGAATCTAACTTGCGCAATATAACTAACTGTTCTCCAAACTTCTCACAGTTGTGAAATTGGCCATGACTACTCGTATTATTTGATTTTTTATTAATTTTATCGATAAAAACTACTTTTTACAACGCAAAACCAAACTTTCATTGTCACACGAATATATATTAATTACTATTTATAACTGGGAATAAGCCACAATTAAAGATAAAAATACGTGTATTGACGTTTCGATTTCCAATTCGGAAATCGTTCTCAAAATACAAACAGTGAATTAAACAAATTTTGTTTTTTGTTACATAGTGAAAAAATTCTTCTAATAATTTAATTTTATCTGACTCATTTATATTGACAATTCAGACATACATTATGCATTTTAAAGTAGACGACTTTAAAATGATATTGCCAATATTGTTGAGTTGCGCTCCTGGGACGACTTTACTTATAAGATAGTTCATTCGATTACATGAAATCAACTTTAACTTGAGAATATCCGTCAGAAAAAATCATAGCATGTAATTCGTCTTTAAAAAGACAAACACATGACATGATGACAGTAAAATTCTCCTGTTAGTGATTCCATAGTAAATTATGAGGGAAAAACCAGGAAAAAAACCTCATAATACTATCCCGACATTGTAAGTATTTGTTCGTGAATTTAGTTTACCTTCAACAAACATCAAAATTCTGATTTTATATGTTACGTTATATAAAAAACATAAATGGTGTATCCTCTATATGTTACTGACTTACTAATACTGGTATTTTCTTATTAATAACTTCCTCTTTCAATATGGGTAACCAGATCCTACTACATTCGGCCGAGGAATTCGCGACACAATTGGCCTCATTTAGCATAATTAGAGCCGCTTCTTTGATTTTTCTTTTTTTACCATCCGTTTCTTTTAGGACTATATTTGAATTATTCCATTGAACCCTATGTTCATTATCCCATGCGTGTTTACATATTTGAGATCTATCAAATTCTCTATTTTTAATATAAGATTGATGTTCACTTATTCTAACATTTAATGGCCTTGATGATTCACGTAAATAAAACTGATCGCATTCACAAGGTATTTTATAAATGCAATTCTTTTTCCTTTCTTGTTCATTGTTAGGTTTGGTTTTGGACAAAATAGATCTCAATGTGTTTGTTGTTTTGAATGTTGTTGAAATGTTGAATTTATTTCCTATTCTTATAAGTTTTTCTGATAATCCTTTTATGTACGGTATTGTTATTTTCTTCCTATTATTCCTTGTGTATGCTGTAGGATCTCGTTCTAAGTTGTTCTGTTCTATTCGATCGATTGTTGAAAATTCCTTATTTATAAACGATAAAGGATAATCATTTTTTAATAAAACAGATGTTAACAAATGTTTTTCTTCCAAGAACGAATTTTCGTTAGAACAAGTAATTTTGGCTCTATCGTATAAGGATTTAATTATTCCCTTTTTTACATTAATATTGTGATTTGATTTTGAAATTTAAATATCTATTGGTGTGTGTTGGTTTTCTATACACCTGAGTCTCATATCCTGTATCGTTCTTAGAGATTAAAACATCCAGGAAAGGTAGCGTGTTATTATATTTCTTTTCCATGGTAAATGTTATTGTCTCTTCTTTATCGTTTATATCGTTTAGGAATGTGTCCAACAACTCTGATCCATGAGGCCATATTGAGAATACATCATCTACATACCTCCACCATACTGTGGGTTTGAAATTTTGAAATAAATAGTAATTAATTTACAATGCCACAAGAAAATAGCTTCAGAACAACACGAATATATAGTTATACATAGATGTGTCCTAGCGATACTGAGTACTGAGAGCACAATTCAGTACTGTTAGTCGTATTAATTACACGAGTAAACACAAGAAACAAAGTGGAAACAGAGGTGCTTCTCCACTAATGTGGAGTCTAACAATAGATCAACTGCTATGCGATTTGACAAACCTTGATGTATCAGACGAAGGATGTGCCGCCATAAAATTCGGAAACATTCGTTTCTGTGACATGATTACAATATGACTAAATTATACAAATATATCAAGGAATAAGATGGAATATTAAGCTCTACCACACTAAAGCCACTTTAACAGCTTTTACAAAGAAGAGATAACACAAACCTAAAACTATCAATAGATAAGATCATAGCTGAGTGGAAAACAGTTAAATATCTATGCCTAATCCTAGACAATCAGCAGGTCACAAAATCCTTCATGATGTGCAGACACTTTTCAGAAAAAGTTGAGGATGTAACCCAGAAATCCTGATACATATATATATATATATATATATATATATATATATATATATATATATATATATATATATCTACATAGCAATAGTGTGAGCAATCATCACTGACGGGACACTGATCTGGTGAAGATTGTGTAAGTAACATAGGGAATGGAACTGAATCAAATTGACTCACAAGTTAGTTTGGAACTGTCTTCAGAATCTGATTCGGATTAGAAAAAGTAACAAAGTAAAAAGTTTACTCTGAGTGCTGGGACAAACTAGTATTGAGAAAAATGGAATAGCATACATAGTTGCCAGGGGAAGGACAAAAGAATAATTCATAGGCCGTGAAAATTTCGATGGTATAACAATACGCACAGCTAAAAGAACGATATTAGACGGGGTGGCACGTAACCACTGATACGAACAAATGGGTCTTAAATATTCGAAAGCATTTATACATGAACTTTTAAAGAAAAGATCCAAAGATGTACTGGATATGGGTAGGAATCGTTTATGAATTATCGCAGGTACCCTAACGTGGTACCTGCGATACCTGGAAACCTAACTTAACCTAACATGGAGAAATATCTGGTGAAACATATATGCATAACAGGTGCAATGGGAAATACAAATATATAGAACAATCAAAGAAGGAATCATTAGACCCAATTCTCGATGCAACTTTTTTCGATCAAAACAAAAATGATCAAATGATAAGCGTCAAAAAAAACCTGATCAAATGACAAGCGTCTTTCAAGAACAAACTCAATCTTCTGGAACATGCAGCCAGTTAAAATTGGAAATAAAATCATGGACGAGAGATGGCCATAACGCCCAATAGTCAAGTAGCCATCAAAGCACTGAAATCACATGTCAAAAGCTCCAAAGTAGTATTGGAACGCTTAGGGAAATTAAGTGAAGTAAAGAAGAAACATTTAAAAAGAAAAAGATAGTTAAGATTTGATAGTGCGTCTATGTAGCCGCTTATACATATTTCGGCCTAATAGGCTTCATCAAGCACTAAGTTTTTACTACCTGATATGACTGCAAAAATCCTTGACATGATGGAAGAGAGACGGATATATAAAACTAAAGATACTGCCAAATACCGTGAAACCCATAGACGAATAAGAGCTGAGATAAGAAAAACTAAAGAGAAATGGTTCTCGGAGAGATGCGAAGAAATCGAATTGTGCGAAACGGTATACGACTATCACAATATGCATAAGAAGATAAAGGAACTCACAACAAAGAAAAGCTACAATATTTTATCGAAAGAGTTGTGCGATGATAATGGAAATCTACAACTAGACCCGACAAAATCGTTAGAATCTGGGAAACTTATGTGGAACAACTGTTTAATGATGACCGTCCTAGTGGGCCAGTCCACTGAGCAATGATGATATTGGCCCTTCTATTCTAAAATCAGAAGTGGAGAATGCTAGAAAAGGTCTTAAAAATAACAAAAGACCAGGCAACGATAACGTATACAGGGAAGTATTGAAAATGCTGTGCGAAACAAACAGTCAATTTCTAGACTCACTCGTCAGACTCTTTAACAATATTTATAACAGCGGGGAGTTTCCTGAAAACTGGCTAGAGTCCACTTTTGTTGTCATACCGAAAAAACCGAAAGCAAAGTCTTGTGATCAACATCGGATGATAAGTCTAATTAACCACATTTCGAAGGCATCCACCAAGGTTATTTACAATAGAATAAGCAAAAAATGCAAGAATAACATTGGAGATTCGCAATTTGGGTTTCGGAATTCTTTTGGGACAAGAGAAGCACTTTTTAGTCTGCAGGTACTCATCCAGCGCTGCAGAGATGTGAACAAAGACGTGTACATATGCTTTATAGACTACGCAAAAGCATTCGATAACGTAAAGCACGAAAAGATAATTAAAGTTCTCCATAAGATCGGAGTCGACTACAGAGACATTCGAACAATAGCGAGTCTCTATTGGGGTCAAACAGCTAAAGTGAAAGTAGGATCTACATTGACCAATAAAATTGAGATCAAGAAAGGGGTACGACAGGGCTGTATCTTGTCTCCTATTCTCTTTAATATGTACTCAGAAGAAGTATTTAAGACAGCGCTGGAGGAAAGCACAGAAGGCATAAAGATAAATGGAGAAATAATTAATAACATAAGTTATGCTGATGACACTGTGATTCTAGCAAGTAGCATGGAGGAACTGAGTTGCCTAATGAGTAAGATACAAAAAACAAGTGCACAATACGGGCTCAGACTAAATATCACAAAAACCAAATGGATGTTAGTAAGCAAAACCCAACAACCACCACAGCAACTGATATTAGGCAATGAAAGAATTGAACACGTGGATTCGTACATCTACTTGGGAACAACAGTTGACTCAAATTGGGATCAAGCGAAGGAAATACGTATAAGAGTAGAAAAGGCAAGAGCATCGTTCACTAGCATGAAGCAAATTTTCACCTCTAAAAGCTTCACCCTACCTCTCAAAATTCGACTTCTGAAATGTTATGTATTCCTGGTTTTGTTATATGGACTGGAGGCGTGGACAATGACCGCAACATTGATGAAAAAAGTAGAGGCCTTCGAAATGTGGGCTTACTGATGTATATTACGTATATCCTGGACTGAGCACGTGATCAACGAAGAAGTACTACGCCGGATAGGTAAAGAGAGAGAGTTAGGAATAAGTATAAAGAAAAGAAAGTTGGAATACTTGGGTCACGTCATGAGACATAATAAATATAGAGTACTACAGCTGATCGTTCAAGGGAAAATAGACAGCAGAAGGGGTCCAGGGAGGAGAAGACACTCGTGGCTCCAAAACTTGCGGCAATGGTTCGGATTATCATCTGCTGAACTATTCAGATCTGCCGTAAGCAAAGTCAGAATAGCCATGTTGATTGCCAACGTTTGGAACGGACAAAGCACATGAAGAAGAAGAAGGCCTCATCAGAACGGCAATTCATAGTCGCTCTGAACGTGAAAACAAATCGCTTCTGTCTTAGGAAGCATCTCTAACATGGCTTCGAATGGACGCAAATAGCGACATTTGATATTAAAATCTATCAACTAATTTTTGAAACCAAGAAACATTTAATTAACTTCCTATGGATTCCTAAATATACTATAGAATATAGGAACACAAAACTGATGACGAATTAGTCAAAAAAAAGGTTCAAACACCAGTTTGAAGTTTTTCAAGCAAACAATCCCTTTTGTGGAACTGGTCATAGCTTAATAGTGGAAGAAATCGAAAAAGACGTTGATCACAAAAGATCCAAACATTGAGAAGATTTACAAGCAATGAAAAAATAAAAATACTTATAGAATTTTTGATTTTATCTCTCCCTAACTGTCAGCACATGTGATGTAAAATATTTGTCTAATCATGGAGCCTCTAGATATATTAAATTTTTTGGGAGAAATAGAACTGCGTGAATTGCTCTAAGCACTAAGAAACCATCAAGGAAGATAAGAAAACAGGGAACACAGTAGATCGCAGTGTGACTTTTTCTCTAAAAGTAGTAACAGCAGTCATATCAATTTATTATTAATAGTTGATCAGTTAATGTTTGTAATAAAATTTAATTTGTTTCTTGAAGTTAAGCATTTATATTAAAGTTGTACTGTTATCTTAAGGACATTTTTGCCATCGATTGTTTTTGAAGAATCAAGAACTGTTGGGCACAATTTTAACTTATAAAACTTTCTATTTTAGACACTGATCAAGATGACTTCAAAGAAGCAACAGACAAAGAGCCAACGTCTTACAGTACTGAAACCTCTACATCTTGGTTAAAAGACAACAGCATGGACGCGGACATTCATTCCTACTCCAAGGGAACGTTACTGAAGAAAGACGAATATTTCTTCCGTATATGGTGTTACGCGACGAAATTATTTAAGTAAACAAGAAGAATTTCGGTTCTTCTTAGAGATGTACATATTCACTGATTTTAGGACATTTATTTTTAGAATTTTGATACTGATAATGACTTTTTCGATTATACATATGTAAAAAAAAGGAGCTCACCTTAGATTTGTGCTGAAATTACTTTGTAAATTGCGAGCTAAGTAAACGGGTGGCTTCAACAGAGAGCTATTAGTGGATAAAAAATCTACGATTGAGTTCTTAAAATCACTACTACCACTACTGGTTCTACTGCCTAGTCACTCAAGACCTAAGAACGAAACTCAGCACAAATTTTACTTTGAGCTACATGAGGATACTGTGATACTGATAATGAATCTACAAAGAACCTAAGACGACTATTATTTAAAAAATTTTGAAATACTTTTGTTATTTTCAGTAAAATATTTTATGGGCAGTTGTTTTTGTTTGGTTATATATGATTAATGTTTATATTGTTTATGCTGTGCGCTATTCAGATTTAATATTTTATTGTTAATTATAAAAAATGGGTTTAATGAAGTCATTGAATGTACAGAGAGAAAATATAGGTGCAAAACAAGTCCATGTAAATGACTTCATTGTACCAACTTAACTGAATAAACGATTATTGAATGATTTGAATCTTTTATTTGTACGTACATTATACTACTTTATGTATTGTAATTAATTCTCAAGTTCTATCATTCATGCTTCTGTTGATAAAGTTTGTACATCGTAGGCACATATATGCATTTGTCGTTTGTTTTGATGGCCTGATCTCTTCCGACACCCTGACTTCCCTGACCGTCACCTTGGTCAAGGAAATTGGAACCACCGGGTACTGAGAGCGTTTCATAAGCTTATTATTAATTAATTCACTTTGTGTTCCCGCTCATACCTCGGGGTGTTGACTACAGACTGTATGGCTCGTCCAGCATGCCATAGCAGGGTGCACGCCATTTTTACAAAGTTGACACCCTACTCCATGGCCTGACACTAGATAGACAAAGCGGATACTGGAATGGAGACCAAGAGATGATGCCTACCGAAGCAGAGGTCGTCCACCATCACGTTGGACTGACGTTCTAAAACGTTGTCATAGGAATTTGATGCAAGAGGCACAAGATCGAAGTAGATGGAAAATTATGAGGGAGATCTATGTCCAACAGTGGATAAGCGAAGATTGAATAATGATGATGATGACATTATACTACAGTGGACATCCTACCCGAATTTGGTACCGGATTTAGTGTAAGCAGCAAGGTCAAACATAGTGTAATCGATTTCACAGCTATTGATCATAGGATATGTCGAATAAGACTTAAAAGGAATTTCGCAAATATTAGCATCCATGCTCCAACGGAAGAAAAAGAGGATGGTGAAAAAGACATGTTCTATGAGGCACTAAAGATGGAAAAGATCAGAAAAAGAGAGCTATGGAACGACAGATGCTGGGTATCTCACTTTAAGACCATAAAACTAATGAAGATATTCGTAATAAATAGAAGTAAAAGATGCTGTCGAACAGGCAGCTAAACTGAAATGGAAATGGGCTGGACATAACGAACAGTGTTGCCAAGAATGAAAATCTCCAAATGACGGTAAAAAAGTCGCTACATTGTCGCTACCTATCATTATTGCTGAAAAGCCAATTGGGGACAAAAACAGAGATCCGCCGAAAGCGCCACCGGAGGCCTAACCGTCGAAGGCAGAAAATTTTGTGGGTGCTACGCCCAATTTTCACCCAAAACTCGTTAAAATTTTATTTTTAATACAAAATGTTAGAAAAATCGCACGAAAAACATACCTAAATATAACTGAAAAACCCACTTACTAAATTTAATACAGACTTACCTCTTTTTGCTGTTGAAGTCGACGATACAAAGTATTTCTTTATGGTATTATCAGTCATTGTATGACAAAACAAAAAACAAACATCAAGCAATAAATGCGTCAAATAAATAATCCAAATACACCAAGAGACCGAGAACCAGTGAGAAGAGAAACGAAATAGCCTGCCTGCCGGCACAAAAACGACAGCAAAAGTTGCGTGCATGTTATAAAACAATGCATTCCGGGGAAGTCCCGAATAAAGAGAAGCGCAAAACAACTCTCAAATTACAAGGCCAACTGGTAATCAGTAGCGCACGTTCTTAAATAAATCAAATTTAAATATAAAATAAATCAATTCATTGCCATATATAATTGGAAATGACAAAAATGACTTTCATTGTAGTGTATTGTATTTTTTAAAATAAATATGAGATTTTTATTTCATGCTCGAGAAAGTCGCTACAAAATGGCGTTATTTTGTAAATCGCTGCTACGTCGCAAAGCACATAAAAAGTCACTATTTACGGGATAAGTCGCTACCCATGGCAACAATGATAACGAAAGTCTTAGGGATGGCCGACGGAATAAAGAAATCTGGAATTGGTGGCCATATGAAGCCAAAAGACCACGAGGAAGATCGCAAATGCTGTGGAGCGACGATATTAAAAGAACTGCAGGGCCAATTTGGAAACGTCTTACAAATAACAGAGATGAATGGCGAGAATTAGGAGAGGTCTATATTCGGCAACCCGAATAGAGAAAAGGGCTTAAAAAATGAGTCACTAGACCAAGAGTGCGATGAGTGCCCAAAAATGACATAAAAATAATAGAAGGAAACTTTAATGCCAAAATATGGTAATAGCTGGGACACGATTTCGCCATAAAGATATACATAAGGGAGCTTGGAAATCTCCTGATAATGAAACAATTAAGCAAATAGATCATATAATCATTCATTGATGCAAGAGACTGCTCTAACTTATTAGATGTTAGGTTTTTTAGAGGAGCAAACATCGATACTGATCACTATTTAGTTAAAGCACGATTTAAAGATAGAATATCCAACCGTAACATAGTTTCGAAACACAATTCAGATTTCTGCTTTAATCTGTGCTTTCTAAAAATTGCAAAGCAAAACAGACGTTGATGAAGGTGTTAAAAGAGACGTGGGGAATCTAAAATTTGCATTCCACGACACGTCTTTTCAACTAAGCAGAAATCCTTAGCGAATTGGTTTCTAGTACTCGTACAGAGTAGATACGAATAAAGTGAAAAGACAGCAAATATTTGATTTCACGCAAACAGCGCCTTTGTATCTGTTGATAAGTATTTCGACCTAATAGGTCTCATCAGAACAGTTATTCAAAGGTGTTCTCAACGTGAAAGATCAATATTTTCTGTCTTTTAAGAAACAACACTAAAATGGCTCTGAGAGTGGGCATTTTGATTGTTTATTATTCTGTGGTTGGGTCAACTTAACCAACTTAGGTGGGATCCCAACGTCTATCATTGCATTTGTTTTCACACTGTCATAGGCTGCTTTGAAGTCGACGAAGAGATGGTGTGTATCTATGTTTATCTATATTCATTATCTATATGCAATCTAACACATTGCCGAAGATTTTATACGCAGATGCTAACAGAGGTTTTACATAATTGATGGATTCGACCGTTACTTGATGGAAATTCATTTTATGTAACAATAAAACACTGAAAACTTTGTTTTCAAACTTCCACAAAATTTATTTTAAACTCTTATTACTACAGCTGTTTCGGCTGATTGCCTTTAAGTGATCTAGTTTTGGCATGCGTTTACACTTTATAGTGTTTAATGTAATAGGTTGAGGAGGGGAGAACTGTTTGTCTCAAGTTGGTCATTCAGAATTATATATATGCTTTTTAATTTGTTAATTTCCATAGATTCTAACAAAGATAGCCTAAGGCCTTTATTTTGAATGTGAAGAATTTTAAATTCGTCATTAAAAGAATGATTATGATCTAGAAGGTGAAGTGCGTATGTAGAATCTGTTTTTCTATTATTGAAAGCATTTTTATGTTCTGCTATTCGTTTATTAAAATTTCTACCCGTTTGACCGATGTAAGTTTTTGGGCAGTTGCCATATTTAAGTTTGTACAAACTACGACGAGCAGGGTTCTTCTTCTTCTTTCGTATACCCTGTCCGATTATCGAACGTTGGTGATCATATTGGCAATAATAACTTTGTTTATAGCGGCTCTAAATAAATTAGCGGTGCTCTCTTGATACCATTCCCGGAGATTTCGGAGCCAGGATATCCTTCTTCGGCCTGGGACTCTGCTTCCGGCGATCTTACTCTGTATTATGAGGTGTGTCCTCTCTGGATGTGTCATTACATGACCGAAATATTTATAACTTTGGAATTTTTATCGTTTTTATTATTTCTGTGCTCTTTTTCATTCGATGAAATTCGATGAATTTTGTCTTAGAAGTATTAAGTTTTAGCCCATATTCATCACATGCTTCGTTTACCCTGTTTATAAGTCGTTGCAGGTCTTCTTCATTGGAGGCAATAAGTACCGTGTCGTCTGCATATCTGAGATTGTTGACATTAATTACGTTGATTTTAATGCCTGTATCTTCAACTAAGGTTTCTTTGAAAATAAATTCGGCATAAAATTCTCCATATCGAGAATATTCTCCGATTTTCCATTCTCGAAAATTTTCTAACACTACCTATGCATGAGTTAAAAGAAATGACCAGAGACAAAGATCTCTGGAGACGGAGAATACACGACATCACGAAGACCACTAAACTCCCTCCGGGGTGTCAGCATTGAAAAAAGGGAGACTCGTATAAAATATATTCATTTATCTCACCAGGGCTGTCGAATGGAGCCATAGTAGATGTTAATTTAATATTAATTATCTCGTAATAGACCATTGCTTAATTCGTAACAGTTTCCTCGATTCGACGGTTTCTGTAAATGGGGTAAATATATGAATGAACGAACATTTACTTTATATTTATTTGTGATTACATATCGCGATAAACAGTGTACAAATCAATAAAAACCTTAATTTTGCGCATAAAACTAAAATATATATTACATTTTGAGTAAAAACATCAACCACAACTCTCCAAACCATGGGACGTTCGGATCCTTATTGCGTTCAAACGGACAGACCGGCCTTTTGGCGGCATTTTTGCATTAAAGCTCTGAGCATGAACTGTTTCCTGGACAAAGTTCGCACTTGTCTCAAAAATACGTCTAAATCAATGACACCACATCTCAATGCCTCTCCCATGTAATAAATAGTATCTTCTAAGGCAGCTTCTTCAGCGAATGCATTCAATAACCTAAAATTTATAAAAGATATGAAAACTCATTTGAACAATAAATTTTTTTAAAAATTAAGCTTTTCACACTCTGAACCTTCTTACACACAAAATATAAACTGATGCATTTTAAAATTTATAATGTTTATTTTAATAAGTTACAGGGGTGAAAAAAAGAGAAACTTTAGTGTGATTTTTAATTTCAAATATCTCATTCAAAAAAAACTTTTTGTTTATTCTAAAGGACTTTCGACCCTCGGTAAAAATGTTGCAAATAATGGGAAAGATACCTGACGGAACGGTTTAAAGCAAAGGAAAATAATAATAATAATCAACATAATAACGTACCAGAATTAAGACACGAAATAGAAATCAGTTTTCAGGAAGTAGAAATAGTCATAAATTCGCTCAAAAATAGAAAGTCACCAGGACCAGACGGAATAACACAAAGAGCTTCTAAAATACGGAGGAGAAAGTATAACCCTAGAGATGACAAAACTTATACAAAAACTAATATTGCACTGCAAGATACCAGACGCATGGAGAAATAGCATAATGATACCAATCTTCAAGAAAGGAGATAAAGAAGACCCCAACAATTATAGAGGTATAAATCTACTGAGCACCGCACTTCAGCTTACCACAAAACTCCTGTTATGTATGGTTTTCATGTACAGATATACTTGGCAACGTTGCACTTGGCCCACAAGTGACAGCGGTGACATGACAACCAGACATGACAACAGACTTAGGTTATGGACTACATGTGAACTGAAATAATGTTAATTTATACAATTATTATAAAGCTTAATAAATTAATAAAACCTATCGTAAGTAGCTTTATGTTATGTCCAACAGTCCTAAAGAGGAATACATTACAACTCCTAACCGAAAAAATCAATAAACTAATAACTTTATCAGATGAACAACAAGGATTCAGATCCGGATGATCCTGCGTAGACGCTGTATTTGTACTAAGATAAATCACAGAGAAGGCCATCGAGTACAATAAACCAGCATATCTATGTTTTATAGACCTGACAAAGGCTTTCGATCGCATCCAAGTCGAAGACGTCTTACACCTACTGTATAAAAGAAACATACCAATCAATATTATACAAACCATCGTCAAAGGGAACACCCAAACTTAGATACTAAAAACAAAGCAATTAACAGAACAGAATGGCGGAAAATCCTAGAACAAGCCAGGACCCAGAAAGGGTTGTCTAGCTACTGATGATGATGATGTATATAAGTATTTCTTCTTCTTCTTCTTCGTCTAGCCATTCACGTCCACATCTGAACATAAGCCTCTTCAAGTCTTCCTTTCCATTGTTTTTTATTGTACGCTACTTGTAGCCAATTTTTCCCGGCAGTCCTTTTCAGATCATCTGTCCATCTCATAGGAGGTCTGCCTCTGGGTCTTTTGTGTTGGTATGGTCTCCAGGTTAAAATTGATCTGTGCCATTTGTTTAGATCGCTCCTAGCTACATGTCCAGCGTATTCCCATTTCAGCTTTAATACTTTTTGCACCACATCGGTGACTTTGGTTTTCTGTCTTATCCATGTGTTTGTTTTCTTGTCCTTAAGTGATATACCTAGCATTGCTCTTTCCATCGCGTGTTGAGTGACTCTAAGTATATTCATATTCTTTTTTGTGATTGTCCATGTTTGTGCCGCATAAGTTAATATCGGGATAATGCATGCATCAAAAACTTTAGATCTAAGATGTAATTGAATTTGTTGATTTCTGAGTATATAGTTCAGTTTACCGAATGCTGCCCAAGCTAACTTTCTTCTTCTTTTTATTTCTTCAGTCTGAATTTCCCTATTTAGGATTATTTTTTGTCCCAAGTATATATATTCTTCAACTTTTTCTATAACTTTATCGTTTATTATTGTCACGGTGTCTTCGGAGTGCATGACTTTTGTTTTGTTTAAATTCATTTTCAGTCCTATTTTAGAAGATTCGGTATGAAGTTCTACAAGCATGGTTTGCATTTTTTGTAGGTCAGTAGCTATCAGGATTATGTCATCTGCAAATCGTAGATTACTGAGGTAGCGGCCATTGATGTTTATTCCCTTATATTTCCAATTTAGGTTTTTAAAAACGTCCTCCAAAACTAAGGTGAACAGTTTGGGTGATAAAGTATCTCCCTGTTTGACTCCCCTGTTTAGTGGTACAGGGTTCGTGTGTTCATTTTCATTTAGGTAGTATGTAGCTGTAGCTTGGTTCATAGTTTCTTTTATTAAGTTAATATATCTGCTGTCTATTCTACAATTTTGCATTGCGTTTATTACGGCCGTGTGTTCTATGGTATCGAAAGCTTTTTCATAGTCTACAAATGCAAGGAAAACTGGAAACTTGTATTCGTTACATTTTTCTATTAATATTTTTGTGGTTAACAGGTGATCGGAAGTTGAATAGCCTTTTCTAAAACCTGCCTGTTCATATGGTTGGTATTCGTCTAATTTCCTTGTTAGTCGAGTAGTTATGACTTTGGTGAGTATTTTAAACAGGTGTGACAATAGGCTGATGGGTCTGTAGTTTTCCAATTTTCGACTATCACCTTTCTTGTGCAATAAGATTACTTTAGAGTTGTTCCAGCTCTTAGGGACTTTGCCCTAAGTAGTATACTACTAATAAGTATTTACAAGGTATTAAATCATCATCATTATATAACGGGGGTCCTACGGTGATTGCCGCTTCCCGCATTTCAGCCTCCATCTTTTCCTATCTCTCCAATCTCCCTCTTCTAAGCCTCTAGATTGAATTGTTTTTGTAATTTCTCTTCTCCAGGAATTTGGTGGTCTTCCCCTTTTCCTTCTTTCTGGCGGAACATACATTAAGGCTTTCTTTGGCCACCGCTCCTCCTCCATTCTCATCACGTGACCATACCATTTTAATTGCCTTCCTTGTATTCTATCTGAAAGAGTATCTCTAATTCCTGTACGGTTTCGTATTTCCTCATTCCTGATTCTTTCCATTCTCGATACTCGACATGACCTTCTAAGATAATCCATTTCCACAACTTCTACTTTATCTCGTTCATTCTTTGTCATCGTCCAACATTCGGCACCATATGTGGTAATAGGTTCTACAATTGCTCTGTATACACGAAGTTTGGTATGCATCTTTATTTTATTAGACCACAGTAATGAATTCAGTATTCGGATGCATTTTTTCCCTTGGGTTATTCGGTTTTGTACATCTATCTTAACTCTGCCATCTGCTGATATGATGCTTCCTAGATATTTATACTGGTTGCAATCTTTTATGAGTGCGTTTTCAAGCCTCAGATCTGTGGTATTTCGTCCAATTTTTAAATATTCTGTTTTGCTTATGTTTACATTAAACCCCCATTTGGCATATTCCTCAAATAATTTTCGATTCATATAATTTATATCTTCCTCATCGGTTGCAACCACCACCTGATCATCTGCAAACAACAATGTATACAGAGTTTCTTGTCCCACTTCGATGCCCATAAATCTACATTTATTTCTCCAATTCCTCAATGCTTCTTGGACGTATATTTTAAAGAGTGTCGGTGACAAACAGCATCCTTGCTTTAGGCCTTTAGTGACTTTAAATTCATTTAAAATTCTGGTTCCAATTTTTACACAACTAACTGCATTTTCGTACAATTTATATATCGTTCGGATATACGTCGAATCCAATCCGGACCTTTCGAGGACGTCAAACATTTTCTTTAACGGGACACTATCATATGCTTTCTCAAGGTCTATAAATACCATATGGGTCTCCCTACTTCTTTCGACACGCTTTTCAATTATTTGTCGTAGGATAAATATATTATCAAGGCAGGATCTCCCAGTACGAAAGCCGCTTTGTTCTTCAATATCTTGTATCTGTCTTTCAACCCTCTACTTTAATATTCTGCCGTACAACCGGCCCACAGAGGAGTAATTGTTATAGAATTAATTTGTTTTTTGTTTATTCTCTTATTGAACTCAGTAAAATTAATAAGTTAATATTTTTGAAACGAAGCGAGTACGGTCCTGGTTTCTCAATTTGTCGCCAAACTACCACACACCTACCACTGTGCCGACCTGAGCGGCATCACTGCGCGTCTCTGAAGACCAACACTACATTCTAACTTTGGCTTCTACTATAGCAATTCGCAAATAAACCAATAAATGAATGCTGAACTTTCAATATTTTCGCTGGTGGAAGGAGACAAATAATTCGACTCAAAAACGTTATTTCGCATACTATCTCGTAATTAGCTGTGCCTGTTCCAAAGATCCTGCCAACAAGAGATTGGTGGGGAAAGGTTCGAATATTTAAAGGTAGATAGAGCCAACCTGGCATTCTTAGATAAGCAAATAATAGATATTGAATTCAAAAACTCAAAGTAGTAAACTGTGTGACGAAAGGAAAGCTGTTGTCAGTGTACCTGATTCTTTTGTTTCTAACCATATTGCATAAAAACGTGGAAAGATATAGGACTATATAAATAACTACTTACTGTTTATATAAAGGAGCTGTCGTTGTTACCGCATCATCAACATCTATAGATTCTTGGTTACTTATTCGTTCGATGGCCTTATTTAGTTCTTGTTCTTTGTCTTGTAGCATTGTAATATTTTTGTCTAAATCATTCTAAAAATGTGGAAGAACAATTAATAAACACCATATCCTAAATACACTTATACAGAATTGTAAAATATTATTCCAAAACAATTTATAACTTTTTTATGAAAATTTATATTATGTGTTAGCGTACCAAGAGCAATAAATTTTTTGAAGAAGAGCTTTCTTATCGCTGGATAAGGACGGAGCAGTGGATCGCGCAGAGGTATGAAACGATAAAAACGACTGAAACGACTGTAATGACAGATCGTGCTATCACACACTACTACGAAGTAGTAGACCCATTCCTGTTTTTTCATAAAATATAATATAGAATAAATATATAAAATAAATATATAAAATAAATAAATAAAATAAATTAAAATAAAAAATTAATTGAAATAAAATAAAATAAAATAAATTGGACTAAATTAAAATAAAATAAATTAAATTAAAATAAAACAAAATTAATTAAATTAAAGTTATAAAAAGTTGAAATAAAATAGATTAAAGTAAAATAAATTCAAATATAATAAATTAAATATAAGTAAAATAAAATTAACTAAAATAAAAGAACATAAAACAATTTAAAACAAAAAATATAAAACAAAATAAATTAAAATAAAAAATTAAATTTAAATAAAATAAATTAAATTAAAATAAAACAAAATGAAATAACTTAAAACAATATGTTATAATTATAAAATAAATTAAAATAAAATAAACTAAAATAAAATAAAATAAACTTAAAATGAAATAAAATAAAAAAAAAATAAGTAAAATAGGTATGTCATTCTATTGACATCGTCTTCAATCCAATATTATACTACAAAAAAGAGTAGTGTAAGTAACAAATTATGTGTTATATTTAATCCACATTCCATTTAATCCTAAAAGCTACACAAATACTCATCACCGAAACGATCATACAAATACTAAAAGCTATGTGGGGAAAAATTAAGAAACTGCAAGTTTTTACTTTTGATTCCAAGAAAAAATAGAAAATCATTTTTACTAGTAAACTACAGGGTGGTCCTTAAGTAATTGTACAAAAAGAAACTGTAGATTCTACACTTTAAAATATTACGATTTAAGTCAAGTTGCTTTAATAAAATGTTGATATTAAGAAAGATACAGGGTGTTAAAGTGGAAATTTAAAATTTTATTTTTTTGCTATAACTTTTATGTTTGTCAACATTTATGTATAAAAATTTAAAACTGGTACTATCAAATATCAGTAATTATAATTTGATGTAAACTTTGATGTAGCTGATAGAGGGCGCCACATATGCCACATATGTGACATACATTTGCACTTATCTTTTTTGCTCTTCAAGTTACCGGTATTTTTAATAAAAAATATTAAAGATGCATTATTGTAACAAAAATAATTATTTATGTATACTTGTTAATATTTTCAAAACTCAACAGTTTTGGAGATAATCGCATTTTAGAAATCAACTACATAATTCTGATTTATCGCAATTACTCCATTCAACGAAAGAAAATTAAAGAAAAACATCAATACTTTGAAATTTTGGTATAAAATACCTTTAATAAAGTTAATAGTTAACGAATTATTAAATAAAATAAATATATCAGCAGGATAAAATAATATAATTTGATAATCATCATCATCACTGGCTCGACAACCCTTTTTGGGTCTTGGCCTGTTCAAGGATTCTTCTCCATTCTGACCTGTTTCGTGCTTTTTTTTTAATTTTTAATTTTTAATGTTGTTATATTATTTTTTATTTGTTTTACGTATCTCAGCTTCGGTCTTCCTCTTGTTCTTTTTCCTATTGGCACTTGTTTGAATATTTTGTTTGGTATTTCGCCTTCTTCTATTCTTTCCACATGTCCAATCCAACGTAGCCTTCCTATTTTAATGAATGTTATGATATCCGGATCCTGGTATATGTTGTATAGTTCAAAGTTATACCTTCTCCGCCAAATCCCGTTTTCTTTTGTGCCCTTATATATGTGTCGCAAGATTTTTCTTTCAAAGGTGGCTAATAACGTTTCCTCCCTTTTAGAGAGTGTCCAGGTTTCTGAACCGTATGTGAGTACCTGTCTTATTAAGGTTTTGTATATTTGGCATTTTGTTTTTCTGGAGACGTTATCTGATCTTAGTTGCCTAATTAAGCCATGGTAACATTTATTGGCAATAAATATTCTCCTCTTCACTTCCTCTGCAACGTTGTTATCAGACGTAACTAGAGATCCTAAGTATGTAAAGTTTTTTACCGCCTCAATGTTGTATTCTCCTATTGTTAAATTTGGCAGCTGCCTTATTTGTGCGTTTTTATTTGCAGGCATATATTTTGTTTTTGTCTAATTGATTTTAAGGCCACTATTTTTTGCAGCTCGTTCTATTTGAGTGAATGCCTCTATCATTTCTCTTTTTGATCTTGCGATTATGTCAACATTATCTGCAAATGCTAGTACTTGCACGCTTTTATTAATTATTGTTCCTCGGGTATTAACTGTTGTGTCTCTTATTATTTTTTCAAGTATGATGTTGAATAATATGCATGATAGAGCGTCTTCCTGGCGTAGTCCCTTCTTCACATCTATTGTTTCCGTTAATTCGTTTTGTATCCGGATTTTACTTTCTACTTTTAGTGTTTCTTTTATCAATTCTATTAGCTGTGTTGGTATATTAAATTCTTTCATTGCTTTTGTTAGGAATTCTCGGTTTCTATTGTCATATGCGCTTTCGAAGTCTATGAAGAGATGATGTGTGTCGATGTTATATTCACTTGTTTTTTCAAGGATCTGTCGCAGAACAAATATCTGGTCTATTGTTGACTTCTGTCTACAGAAGCCACATTGGTATTTGCCAACTATTTTTTCAGCGTATGGTCTTAGTCTTTCATACATTACGTTGGACATTATTTTGTATGCCGCATTCAACAGCGTGATTCCACGGTAGTTTTCACATTCTAACTGGTTTCCTTTTTTATGTAGTGGTACAATAATGCCGCTTTTCCACTCCTTTGGTAGCTGTTTATTCTACCATATCTTTCTTATCAGCTCATGTATGGCTTTAAGTAATGCGTCTCCTCCTTCTTTCAGTAGCTCCGATGATATTTGATCCGATCCCGGTGATTTATTGTTCTTTAATTTGTCCACTGCTGTTCTAATCTCTGCTATTGTTGGTGGACTCTTTTCTCTGTTGTCTGCTTGGTCTAACGGTATATCAGGGTTCATCTCCGTCCTATTCACCCCAAGCTTTTCCTTAAAATGTTCTGTCCATCTTCTAAGTATCTCTTGCTGTTCTGTCAATATATTACCCTCCTTATCTTTACACATCGTTTTGTGTTTTGGTTTGAACTCTTTTCTGCTTTTGTTGAGTTTCTGGTAAAATTTTCTTGTCTCTGTTAATTTACTTAGTTCTTGTAGTTCTTGAAGTTCTTTGTTGATATAGTCTCTCTTCTTTCTTCGGTGAATTTTCTTTTCTTCTTTACGTAGTTGTTTATATTCTTCCTCTGCTTGTCGGGTTCTGTGCCTCTGTTGCATCTGTAGATATGCTCTGTTTTTTCTTTCTGTTATAGTTTGACATTCTTCGTCAAACCAGTGATTCGTTCTTGTTCTTCTTTCTTTACCTTCCATAATTTGATAAATAACAGAATAATTGGATTTTACATCAAACATTTTACGTTTTTTATTAAATTAAAGTCATAATCAAAACATTTTATTTACACACCAAATTAAGAAATAGTTAAACTAAATAACCTTAAACTTTTTGTCAAGGTAAGTGTTCAATATGTCCACCATTTTCTTTAATTCATTTGTCAATACATTCCATAAAATATCGTTTCATATTAAATAGCATCATTGCTCCTAAAGAAACTGCTGCAGTATTTACTATAAGTGTTAATATATAGTATAATATTAAGTAATTTTTTGAAATTTTTATGAATTAAATAATTATATTAATATCTCACCACAAGAATATGACTTTTATTGACGTTTCAATTTCCAATTCGGAAATTCGGAAAAGAATATGACTACCACGAACAATCCAACTTTCAGGAAAGTTGTATTTAAATACTGTCTCACTCCGCTTTATCTGTAATGTAATGGTGTACCATCTTGTAGAAACCACATATTTCAATGTGTGGTTCCAATAAATCAATAAAATCATTTTATAAAAAATATACATAAATCTCGACATTCAAAGGTATCCAATTTGCAAGGTATTTGCATTTGCAATTTCTGATAAAACTTAAGTCCTACAGAAACGAAAACCCCAAAATTTACTACTTAGACGAGACTTGGCTAAACACTGGTCACACCAAATCTAAAGTATAAACAAGCGTTTTTAGATGGACTTTCTACGAGGTTAAAAATCCTGCAGGTACATGTTTATGTGCTTTTTCAGTTCAAGTAATTTTTAAAATAATAAAATTTTCAGGAAAAGGAAAAAGACTAATAATCTGTAACATTGGAAGTGAAGATGGGTTTGTTCCAAAAGGGCTGTGGATGTTTTAATCAAAAAACCTGTCCGATCAGAGCAATTGATTTTAAGTCCATCTTAACCACCTGGACATCGCAGATTGACGTATTGTAGTTATCATAAATTGCGGTAAATGTGTTTTTTATAGTTTTCTCGGAACCGGAAGTAAAAACTACTGATTTCGTAATCACTAAACTAACTTTTAATTCTGAATCAGAATCTATCACTAGTCTTCTGTCTATATTGAAATTTTGTCTACAATAAGCCCGGAGAGAGAAAGAGAGAGAGAGAGAGAGAGAGAGAGAGAGAGAGAGAGAGAGGAGAGAGAGAGAGAGAGAGAGAGAGAGAATGCATATAACTGTAAAAGATTGGTTTTTTAAAAATTGTATTTTCACCCAGTATGAACCATACACGAAGAGTATAGCAGCGACGTTTTAATCAGGAAATATGCTTTACGAAGGTATAACTTATAAAATAGCATAAAAAATAACAAATAAATACCTTTTCTTTTTCTAATCGGCTCAATATACCGTCCAGCTTCAATTTTCCTTGTTTCAACTCCTCCTGTGTCCTCTTGAGCGTCTCTAGTTCAGCTTGATTCTGCTGAAATTGTTCCTTCATTCTTCTAAGCAGCTTCTCTTCCAAAGCTGTCAACAGAGATTCTCTGATATGTTCTTCTTTTATAGTACCTGTACCTGAGGCCTGAGCTCCCGGAGGGCCGAAATTAAATGGATATTGTGGTTGTGTAGACGGGTAGGGTGGATACCCTTGAAAAGAGTTGTTGCTTGTTGGAGGATATGGAGGATACCCGCCGAAACCTCCTGATGCTGGTGGGTAGGGGGTGGGATACGGCGGCATATAACCTCCGGATGGTTGAGGCATGAAAGCTGAAATAGAATAAACATATTGTAACGATTTTTTATTTAATTTGCACAGTTGTATTTATATTTACACACTATTTATTTTTTTACTTATACAATTGCTTCTCTTAAATTATAAACATAACGAAAACTTTAAATCTAATGATACTCGAGATAATACAGGTTGTAACAAAAGACGGATAGATTAGAAGCCTTCGAGTTATGGGCCTACAGTAGGATATTAAGAATAAGTTGAGTGGATAGAGTCACGAATGTCGAGGTGTTGGGAAGAATGAAAAACGATAAAGAGGTTTTAAAAATAATTAAAATCAGAAAACTACAATATCTGGGACATGTCATGAGGGGCGAGCGTTATAACTTCTCGAGAAGACGCATCTCCTGGTTAAACAATTTGACAGATTGGTTTAATTGCACTTCTGCTGACCTCTTTAGAGCAGGGTTATCGAAAGTGCGAATTGCCATGATGGTTGCCAACCTTCTTAGAGGAGATGGCACATGACGAAGAAAAACAAAAATATATTAAAAAACTCAAAATTTTAGAATATTCAAAAGCTGATGATCTAAGGCAAAGATGCCTATCAAGAGTCACACAGTTGAAGTTATCTTGAGATATTAGTCAAAGCATCAAGCGCTCAAGAGCATATACTAGAAATATGGTCACGGATCTACCAAAAGGATGTAATTGTGAAATATTGTTAAATTATAATAATGGCAGTCTATAGGGCGTTTAGTAGCTTTTTCTTAATGGACCGTCTCATTAAAAAATATGTTTTGAATTTAATTCTGTATACTTACAATTTGACGGATACGATTCATTGTCTTTAGCCCTGGCAAATACCGGAGGTTGTTCGCCAAATGTAACAATCATAACTTGGATTAATCCTAGCAAATCTGATTCGTTCTGAAAAATAAGCAATAGAAAAATATAAAGCAAAACAGAACAAGCATTATGATAGCAAAAAATATGTTGTTATGATATGTAAAATTGAAAAATAATATTGGTTTGCTTTTAATATATTTCAAACTACAAAATAAAGGATATTTCGAAGAAATGAAAGTCCATTATCCTGGATTACCTGTAGGAAACAAAATTTAAAGATATGCATAAATTATTTTCTTTGTAAAATATATTCGAGTGACGAGAGTTAGTGAAATCGAGAACAATGCGAGCGGGTTTTCCAAATAGACTTGTACCTCGATATATATTGAATAAGACAATAGAATAGAAATATTTAGAAAATATAATTCTCCGTTAGTTCCTAAGAATTTGTAGAAACCGATTAGCATGTTAATAGTTTTTAGAAAATTTGTAATTGTAGGTAAAATTGTTGTTTGTTATCTAAATGGTAGATGGGGGTAAGTGTGACGAACTTTGATTGGAGAAGATTGAAAGAAGTGGTATAGGTATGTAGGAATGAGAGTTTAGATGAGCACGCAGAGTTACAGAGTGCAAGTAATATTTTTTTGCTTGCAGCAATTATGGAAAATAAACCAGGACCTTCAAAAATGGTAAAATATGAGTCTAAAAAATACCGTAAACTATCAGAAGCTGAATTATTAGCTGATTTGGAAGAATCGTTATTAGCGGACTACAAAATAGTAGCGATGATCCAGATTATTTGAGCGAAAGCGATAATATGTTCGAAGAAGACTATTATAGTTCGAATAAGACTAGAAGAAAAATATATTCGAGTGACGAGAGTGAGCTTAGTGAAATCGAGAGCGGGTTTTCCAAATAGACTTGTACCTCGATATATTTTAAATAAGACAATGGAATAGAAATATTTAGAAAATATAATTCTCCGTTAGTTCTTAAGAATTTGTAGAAACCGATTAGCATGTTATAGTTTTTAGAAAATTTGAATTGTTGTTTGTTATCTAAATGGTAGATAGGAGTAAGTGTGACGAACTTTGATTGGAGGAGATTGAAAGAAGTGGTATAGGTATGTACGAATGAGAGTTTAGATGAGCACGCAGAGTTACAGAGTGCGAGTAATATTTTTTTGCTTGCAGAAATTATGGAAAATAAACCAGGACCTTCAAAAATGGTAAAATATGAGTCTAAAAAATACCGTAAACTATCAGAAGCTGAATTATTAGCTGATTTGGAAGAATCGTTATTAGCGGACTACAAAGTAGTAGGGATGATCCAGATTATTTGAGCGAAAGCGATAATATGTTCGAAGAAGACTTAATTTTACAACCTTCACAAATTCGCCGTTGTTCATCTACCCCTACATTATCCTATGGTTGTTCGTCTACCCCTACAGTTTCCTCGGACATGGAGAATATTGCACAAAATGATTGGTGGTTTACTGAAATTCCAAATCAAAGTTTGTCGTTTAATAAGACAGCAGGTTTTTTGGTTGACGTAAATTTCACAAACCCTTTTGATCATTTCCAACTTCTAATGGCAGATGATTTTTTTAACATGTTGTGTGAGAAGGCTAATAAACATGCCATCGATTTAATTGCCCAAAGCTTAGGAAGTAAACCAAGAATAATAGATAGCGCGCAATAAATTATCAGATGACGAACTTTTGGAATTACTAGAAGAAAACCATGAAGAATTTAATTACATTCATGAATCATGAGATAAAAACACAGACACACAAAGAAATAAATAATAAAAAAGTATATAAAAAATATATGTCAAACAAAGATTAAGACCGCATAAAAATAGATAAAACCGTCATTTTACAACTGAATATTTACATCAAATATGTGATATTAACAGGTGATGTCGAGTGCGTTTTCTTGTTTCAAGAAAGGGCTACACATTCTAGAATTTTCTATGGGTTTAATATGATTCTGTTGTGCATGCGTCCTTTCAGATATGTTCTGAACCAATGTAGAATAACTCCTTCCAAACCTATGTCTCTAAGTTTCCTTGATACGTCACTAATATCACGTGTATTTATGTTGTTAGACCAGGGATGGCCAACCCTCGGCACGCGTGCCACTCCGTGGCACGATTGAGTCCTATCAGTGGCACGCGTAGCGTACCACTGATAGGACTTTCAAACTGATCAAACTCTCAAAAAAATTAAAACTTGAAAAACAAAAAATAATAAGAAGAAACTTGGTAGGTTTACGGAAGTTACGATAGATGCGGCATCATTGCATCCTCTGGCGAGCGATATTGCTGCGATTGGTGCACGTGATCCTAGCTGTCGTAATGTGCAATAGGACTGCGTTACCCTTGCTTAGTTTATTTTAAACTGCCCCGTTGTATGTGCACATTTTGTCATCGCGCATTGTTTCTTTAAAATTTTAAAAGTATTTGTTCGATATGTCCACGAGCAAGCCTTCGACTTCAAAACGAAAATACGAAGATGATATTGCAATTCGCGATTTTCAACCTGCTTGAGAAGAACAATTTTTATTTACTAATCGTAATACTTCAAAGCCTGTTTGTTTGATATGCGGATTGTCTGTAGCAGTTCCGAAAAAATTTAACCTGGAACGACATTATAAACAACTGCATAGGAACTTCAGCAACAAATATCCTATTGGTTCACATTTGCGAGCCGACTTTATTGAAAAAAAAAAGAAAACCCTAGCCAGCCAACAGTCACTGTTTCAGAAGAGAAGTGATGAAATGGAAACTATGGTTAAAACATCATATGAACTTTCTCTGCTGTTAGCCCGGAAGAAAAAAGCCTACTCTGATGGAGAGGAGATAATTAAAAATAGTCTGACAATATTTGCTAAAAATGTGGGAGATGTAAAGATCAAAAATATGGTCGATAATATTGCATTATCCCGAAATACAGTCATGCGCCGTATAGATGATATGGGCCAAGATGTTGTTTCCCAAATTATAAGTGGATTACAATCCTGCAAATTCTTTTCTTTAGCGTTGGATGAAAGTTGTGACAACACAGAAAATGCGCAGTTAAGCATTTTTGTCCGTTAAACCAATGATAATTTTGAAAATGCCGAAGAGCTTCTGGATTGGCTCCAACTAGTCACAACAACAGGAGAGGACATTTTTCAACAGCTTAAAAACGTAATCGAAGTCAACAAAGTTGAATGGTCAAAATTAGATAGTGTTTGTACAGATGGAGCTCCTTGCATGGTTGGTAGACTAAAGGAGTTTGTTACATTACTGGAAAACTATTTGGGAAGAAAAGTTTTTAAGTACCATTGTATTATTCACCAGGAAGCTCTTTGTGCCAAGGACCTATACATGTCATCTGTTGTTGACCCTGTAACACGCTGCATTAACAAAATACGAGCTCGGGCATTGAATCGACGACAATTTCGAGAACTGTTCGCGGAAGAAACGGAGCAAGATGGAGAGTTACTTCTCCATTGCAGTGTGCGCTGGCTCTCCAAAGGAAATGCACTCGAAAGGTTTTGGAACTTAAAAATATTTGCAAGAAAACAATGAACTACCCAGTGAGTGCTCGTTACTTAATGATAAAGATTGGCTTTGGGATTTAGCTGTTCTCACTGATATTATAAGACATTTAAATCTATTAAATTTAAGATTACAGGGAAAAAATTGTATTTTTCCTACTCTAGTTGGTCATATATCTTCTTTTGTGAATAAACTTATGCTTTTTTATAACGATTTTGGAGAACAGAGATTGACACATTTCACATTAATGCAGGAAATAGCCAACAAGGTCAGTAGAACTCCAAATTATGACAGATTTAAAAACCCTATATCTATTTTGCTAGGTTCATTCAATACCCGGTTTGAAGATTTTCAAAAAGACAAAATGAATGTTGACCTTTTCATAAATCCTTTTTCTATTTCTCTGCAAGATATCAATTGTTACTCAGCTGAAATACAGATCGAAATTATTGATTTACAGAACCACACTATACTAAAAACCAAATATAGGGAAATTATTTCAACTGTTACTGATCCCAATTATATTGAATTTTGGAAATTTGTACCAGCAAACAATTTTCCTAATTTACATGAGTTAGCTCTGAGATATTGTTGTAGATTTGGTTCAACGTACGTTTGTGAGCAAATGTTCTCTATTATGAACATTATAAAATCAAAATATCGGTCACGATTAACTGACATGCATTTAAAAAATCTAATTCTGTTGGGTAGTTCCGAAATTAATCCCAATATAGATGAATTAATTAAAAAAATACAAGTTCAAATACCACATTAAATAAGTAACTGTTTAATAATTTGAATTTTAGATAATAAGAAAATATTTAAGTTTTTTTGTTTAACGTTTTTATTTTATTTTTATTAACAATAAAGTAAGTTTGTTGTTATGTTTTACTTATTACGTTATTTTTTAAACCTCCACTATCTTGACTAAACGGAAAAATGTGGAATTTACATAAGAAATACATATTGTACCGTATATTATTAATATATAGTATCCATATTAGTATGTCGAAAAATTTTAGTGGCACGTAAAATTTTTTTTGTTCTCATATTGGCACTCGACGTAAAAAGGTTGGCCACCCCTGTGTTGGACAAATTAAAAAAAAAAGTCGTTTAATAAACTTACCGGTACCCAATCATGCAAATATGGCAGATAAACTTTTCCATTTTGATCTACAAACATGGAAACTTTTATGGACATGTCGGAAGTTGGTTTAACATAACAAATGGGAGCATTCTCTGGATGAGTGTCAATTAACCATATACAAATTGGAATATTATAAACATTGCCTTTGTAACGAACAGGAATTGTACCAGATAAGTTAATGAGATCCATTCTTGAGCCATCGTTGAAAGCTAAAAAATATGGAATTTAAGTTATAAGGATATCTTTCTTATATTAAGGTATATATTATATACAGATACGGACAAATTTTATTGTTAGTATTACAAAATTAGTGAGAGATAGTACAACGATACTAGCATTATGTTTCCACTTAATAGAGTGATTAAAACTATATTTTCTTCAAGTCTCCCGACTGAAACCCGATGGGATTTCCCCCTTCCGAACATTTCTCGGACTAAAGCCACGTTGTCATGAGTCAAAGCCATGTTCATAGGCCATGGGTCAAGACATGGTCACGACAGTGGCCATGCCAGTCGCTATTTTCAGCAGCACCGTTGCAATGTGATGAGAAAGGAGTTGAGGTTGTTATACGTTTAATATCATTAATTAAAGTAAAATGTTTAAATTCTTGCGATATTAATTGCGACAAGTACTTAACCATAATTAGCTAAACACTCCGTAAGTGGGAGGTCAGTGAAGACATTGGATAAATTTTAACCCATTTAGAACTTTTGTCTAAATAAGATAAAGAATAACTTTTTTCCTAAAATGAATCCTAAGTTTTCCATATGGTTCCAGCTTATTGCAACATATTCTAAATAAAATGTCTGCTTCATAATTTAGTGTAATAAAAAGTTTATTAAAGTAATGTAATAACTTACTGTAGACACTCTGTTCTGGATGCAAACCTCTGTATTGTGTGGTGATGTTGATTATTTCTCTATACGCTACATCAGGATTGTGATACTGAAAAAAAATATGTTATTTCTAGAAATATAAGTACATATCCTAAAGTTTATAACTGGCATATAAATAGTAGTATACAGCTTTATACAATTTAAGCCTATGTGTAGGTTATATATAGTACTATTTTCCTAGAATCTGCTGTAGACTTGGCTTTAATAATAGAAAATAAAAGTAAACAGTAAAAGATTAGTTCTTATCATAAGCCATACAGCATATTCACCTGTGCCATTCACTGTATTGGACAGCAAGATCAGCAATTATAAAATTATAAAACACCGTGTAAAAAATCAATATTTTTCAGTCTGATTTTAATTTATTGTGTTGTTACTAAAATCTTTGTAAATCGAAAATAAAAGTTTTAATTGTGAGTTCAGATTTTAAAAAAATGTTTTTCCCAAGAACATTCATAATTAGCGCTAGGCAAAATGTTGAAAACGGGCCTCCGAGCCAAGGCTCAAGTACTAGCTTCGACTCGTATTTGTTTCTTCTTCTTCTTCAGCCTGTGTTCGTCCACTGCTGGACATAGACCTCTTCCATTTGCTTCCATCGATTTCTACTTTTGGCAATTCTCATCCACTGCTTGCCCGCGACTTGTTTGATATCGTCTGTCCACCTCTTCTGCGGTCTGCCTACTCCTCGCCTGTTCTCTCTTGGTCTCCAGTTTGTTAATCTTTGTGTCCATTTTTCGGGATTATCTCGGGCAACGTGTCCGACCCATTGCCACTTGAGCCTTGCAATACGTTCTGAGACATCAGTAATTTTTGTTCTTTCACGAATGACGTTATTTCGAATCCTGTCTCTCAAACTAATCCCTAGCATGGCCCTCTCCATTGCTCTTGGGGTTGTATTGAGCTGCTCTAAGGTTTTCTTTGTGAAGGCCATGGTCTCCAGTCCATATGTAGTTACAGGCAAGATACATTTGTCATAAACTCTACGTTTTAGACACATTGGTATATCTTTATTCTTCAAAATAAAGCTTAATTTGCCGAAAGCTCCCCAAGACAGTTGTATGCGTCTTTTTATTTCGGCTATTTGATTTTCTTTGCCGATTTTAATGGTATGTCCAAGATATATATAGTGGTCATTTTCTACATTTCTACATTTACAGTCTACATTTTCAAGACTGACGTTGTCAATAACAAGATTAGTTTGTAAATTTGCTCCAGTTCCTTGATATCTGTACTAAATAATACTATGTCATCCGCAAACCTCAAATGACTCAAACGTACACCATCAATGTTTAGACCTTTTTCCTCCCAGTCAAGCTGTTTGAATACATTTTCCAATGCTAAGGTAAAAAGCTTTGGTGAAATAGTATCACCTTGTCTAATACCTTTATCAAGGCGCATTTTTTCAGTTTTTTCGTCTTCATTGATTTTGATGTGGAATGTGGCCTGTTCATAAATGTTTTTAATGAGTGTAGTGTACCGTGAGTCTATTCGAGCATCCTTCAGGGCTGACAAAAAGGACCAAGTCTCAATACTATCGAAAGCCTTGTGAAAGTCGATAAATGCCATATGTAAAGGTACATTATATTCTGTGGTTTTTTCTACTAGTGTTCTGATGGTTTGTAAGTGATCATTAGCGCCAAACCCTTTTCTAAATCCCGCCTGTTCAACCGGTTGATATAAATCAAGATTTTGTGTTATGCGGTTGGTTATTATTCTTGTTAACAATTTGTATAAGTGTGACAACAAACTTATAGGTCTGTAGTTTTCAATATTAGTAGTGTCTCCTTTCTTGTGTAAAAGTATTATTTCGGCGTTTTCCCATAGGCTGGGTATTCTTTTTTCTGTTAGACACTTATTCAGTAAGACTTCCACAACTTCTACAACGATGTTGCCGCCCATTTTTAACATTTCAGACGTTATACGATCCTCGCCGGGAGCTTTTTTGTTTTTCATTTGCTGTAAGGCATGTCTAATTTCCGAAGAGGTTATTTTAGGGAGGGTTTCCGAGCCGACGTTTAGAATTGTTCTGTGGTCTGTTTCGTATTTGTTTATGAGTTTACAAACAGCATAAAAACATTAGCCGTTTTTGTTTTAATTTAACTTTTTAGCTTTTGCAATTTTTTTTTTTCGAGCTGTCCATAGGGACCGCTGTGACGTTTATGGAACTATGTTTCGCATGCGCCATAGCGATCTGTCTAGCAGTTCTCGTTAACCTTGATTTGCGCTAGACCGCTTAGCTAGACTTCCCAGTAGTCGGGTGCAGACGTGACCAGTCGAAGCGTGTTAGGTCAAGTATTACAGTGTGTAAAATGTTTTAGTTTTCTATTTCTGCTTAGCTTGGGCCAAGATCCATAAAGACTGGTCTATTGATGATTGGCGTAAGGTAAATTATTACAAGTCATTTTATTTTCGCAGTTTATAATTTTTATTCAAATTTACAGGTTTTTCTTCAGCGATGAATAAACATTTCAAATTATGGATGACAAGGCTAGTTGGCCCGAAAACGTACATGGTAAAAATATGAAAAGTGGTGTGTAATTAATACAATTAAACATCCCACCTCAGTAATGATATGGTCGGTGATTAGTGGCAAAGGTATGGGACGTTTGTATGTCGTAGAAGGAATCATGCGACACGATCGATATAAAGGGGTTTTGCAGACAAGATTAGTTACACAAGTGAACGAATGGTTTGGTAACAGCCATAAGATATTTATGCAGAATGGAGCATCTTTCCATACGGCTAAAAGTATTAAAATTGTGTGTTAAAACAAGAAATTCCGCTCTTACCATGGCCCTGCAACTTACCAGACATCAACCCCATTGAAAATATCTGGGAGTGCCTAAAAAGAGAGCTAATTACCAACAATGTTCAGTTGATTCAGAAAGAATCATTCTCCATTGGAATCACACCGAAAATTTAAAATAAATCGCAGGAAAATGCATAAACACCATGCCTAGGAAAGTGGCTGCATTGCTTAAAGCCAAGGGTTGCTTAACAAAATATTAATGTTAAGTAAAATAGGTAAAGTAAGTAAATAATAATACATATTTACAATTTTATGGACAAGATTGTGGCCGGTTATGAAAATTGTAGGCATCCCACAGGGCAGTATTATAGGCCCTTTGTTATTTGTTTTTTATGTTAATAATCTTGCTATAAACATTGTAAGAAATAGGAACAATATTCATCTAGCAAACTTCGCTGATGGCATATTAATCTTAGGATCGTCTTTGAATAACCTTCTAGATATTGCCAATGATACATTGGAGGAGGCTCAGATGTGGTTCAATATGAATAGACTTAAAGTAAATAAGGAGATAATAAATTATATAATTTTCAAAACTAAAATGAACAGCAGTATCATACCAAGTAGTGTTCAGATACAAGAGGAGGAAGTACTCGTATTTTTAGTAGATAACACAAAATTTCTATGTATGCATATAGACCAGAATTTAGACTTTAAAATGCAGGTTGGTAAATTATGTGCTAAGCTAACATTAGTTTGTTACTCTTTTAGAGTAATATCATCATATTTAAATGTCATCTCAAAACGAGCTCTCTATTTTGCAAGCTTCCACTCACATATAAGATGTGGGATAATTTTCTTTGGAGGAACCACCAAAGCTGAACACGTTCAGAAAAAAATGGTTAGGATACTACTTGGTTTGAAATTTAGAAATTCCTGCAAAGAAAAACTCAAAGAATTAGGTGTAATGACTACCTGGAACATATATTTATGAGTGTCTGGTATTTATTTACAAAAATAGACATATATTTGAAGTAAACAACATAAAGCATAACTTTGATACAAGAAGCCATGGGTTTCGGATGTGATTAAAATGGAAAACAATTTTAACAGCTTTAAACAATATGTAAGCGATTTTATAATAGATCTTAAACCATATTCGGTCGATGAATATTTAGTGAGATAGATAAAGGTTGGAGGAAACAAAACTTGTTTTTTTGTTGTTTATATATATATATATATATATATATATATATATATATATATATATATATATATATATATATATATATATGTTTTTATACATTTTTAATGCTTTTGTATCTTTTGTACTATTTTTTATCTTGTTTATAAGCACTTTCATTGTATATTTTGTAATGTGGAAATTTATGCAGGACTGCAGCCTGAAGGTCCATTTCGTGTCAGCAATAAACCAGTAGATGTGGTCAAGAGATTAACTGAACCTATCTATAATTCAGGACAAAATTTCATTGCTGATAATTGGTTCACTGATCTAACTCTAGTCAGCGATTTGAAAAAGAACAGACTATCATATGTAGGGACAGTCAGAAGAAACAAACATCAACTACCACCTGAATTTGTGACTACAGCAAACAGACCAATACAATCTAATTTTTTTGCTTTTAGTGAAAATTGTACTCTTGTATCGCAGTGCCGAAGAAGGGAAAAACGTAATTTTATTATCTAGTATGCAATTCGATGACGAAGTAAATTCAGATACGCACAAGCCAGAGATAATCAATAATTACAATCAGGCGAAATCAGGGGTTGACACTGTAGACTAAATGGTTCGTTCGTATAATGTAGCCAGAAACAGCAGCAGCTTCAGCTTCAGAAAAATAAGGAGGAACATTCAACCAGTGGAGCAAATCGAGATGTTGCTAAAACGGGCAATAAAAGAAAAAGGTGTTTGTCCAAATACTATTGTAAATGTTGTACCACATTTTTATGTTTTGAGCAAAGCAATACCGTATGCAGCAGTAGTAACCGTTTTACTAATCATTCTGCTGATGAATCTGATTAAGTTGAGCTAAATCTAATTATATGTTTGGGTTATTTTTGCCTTACATTAGTAACACTAATAATAGTAGTTACATGTTTTTATTTTGTTATGTTCTTAATACTACATTTATTTTATTTTCTCTTGACAATAAATTAATTTAAATCCGCTTATGTTTTGATTAGTTATGTTCAAAATAAACGTTTTCTCCGATCCCGATAAGTTTTTTTTTCAATCTTATTGAAACATTATACTTAAGCGAATATATCTCTGAGATACA